TATATATATACTATATATACATATATATATGTATATGCATATATATACATATATATATATGTATATATACTACATATATATAGTATATACATATATTGTATATATATTCTCAGCTGACAATTCTTTACTGAACCATTTTCATCTCATCTCATTTCAACTCACCTCATCTTCCCTCACTGCCCTTCTCATTTCTTTTTTTCCTGGGTGGCTGCTATTTGCAACCGCGACGCTTTCCAGAATTTTTTTACATGCTCTATACAAATGCACAAACGTGCACACACGCATAACATATATATGCACACGTGAAACTCTGCGGACCTGCATTCATAAAAATCTACTGATGTAGAAACTCGAAAACACCAATCTCATCTATTTGTACACGTAATACACGTGCATGGTTCACTTGCAAATACATGCGTGATTTGTTGCAAATATGCGGAAACTTTTCTACACGGATCTCACTCAAAAATCCACAACCACGGGTCCATACACACACTCACACACATATGGACAAATGCTTGAATACTTATTACACACTGATACATTGATGAGAAGCCAAAAGAGCTTCACAAGCACGCAAGCTAATCGAAATACAACCACATCAAGGACTATTTCTACACTCGTTAAGTATTTTCTTGTTTAGCGTGTATGTTTCATATGTTTGTGCACGCCGATAAGCATTCGCCTGCATATACGCGTGCAACTGGCCATGCTTTCATGTTTATCAAAGCGTATACTTTGATGCATATATCCCAGCCGAACAATTCCTTAACCGTTTAATGTTGACTTTCATCTTCACCTTATTACATTTGTAGTGAAAAAAATTTCTTCTTCATTGTGGTCGAAATTGGTAATGATATATCTACGATATTCAATATACTAATGCGAATGCAGTTCTAGTTTAGGTAAAGCTAATTTCGACGTTTAAAAAAAATTGCGGTTTATCACATACAATCGAACAGTTTTCATGCATTCGTCAGCGGCTCATAGAAGCGAAGGAAACGTGAACCTCCCACACATGAATAATTAAATAATGCAATCGGTTAAATCTGTAGAAATGTGTGCAACAATTCCTGTTAGCAAATAAGAAAGCAAGAAAAATACATTTCCGAAAACCATATTTAAAATGAAAGATTGTTTTATGTTTCTCACGATGAAATTTAAAAACCAACCAAAATTGAGTGCATCAAGTGATATGCGTACATCATTCAATTCAATAATCAATTTTATCGCAAACTACAAACTTTTTCAGTCAGACAAAAAAAGTCAGCAATTCATCTTTAATTGTTAAATAAATGAACACAAAGAAATGATCAAGGTTAACAAAAAATGAGTAACCTAAAAGGAAACCAAACTCAAAGAAATCAAGCAACAGTTATTTCCGTATTTCAGCATGAAATCAGCCTAATGAATAAGAGAAATTTTATAAAACAAATAATGAAGTTCCCAATAGCTAGTAAAAATCAGACCTTGTACCTAGAGTTCAAATTCTATTTTATAAAATATTTCGGAAATGAAGTTGTTCAGGATTTTAATTTGAAAACGAATAAAAATTCCATCGCTTTCTTAAGATTTTTATTCTTAATTCTCTAATTTCACAAAAGTGTGAACAATTCAATAACAAACAATAACTTTCAAATTTCTTCGCGATTTCCCGCATCCTGTTCGTCGACATAATGCTGCGCGAAGAAGAAAATGAAAGTGATGAATATAATACCGAATATAAGAGTAAGACCTATTTTTGGATAAGATCGCGGAACTGATTTATCCTGAACATCTTGATACAGCTTATCATTTCCATTCCCATATTCACTGTAAGAATTTTCAAACTTTCCTTTGATCAGTTTCTGGCCTTGATTACCACGTGAAGAACAATTTGATCGTAAAGATTGTTCAGTTAGATCTTTGAATTCATTTTCCCAATATGAAGGTATAGTACGAGAGCTTTCTTCACCATACATCTCATCATCTGAACATTCATACACTTCTTGGTTCGTTCTGTTATCCTACAAACATTCAAAAAATGAGTATTATATGGTTGCACACAACTCAGTTCTGATGCGATTTCTGAAAGCTACAAAACCTCATTTATGTTTGAGTCACTGAACGAAGCTATAAAAACAAAACCTAAATACATTAAAAAAACAAAACCTAAAGAACCTAAAAAAACAAACTTAGAGAACAAAACCTAAAGATATTCAGCTAAATAAACATACTTGAAGTGAAGTAAAATATTTTGTAGGTGTAACTCGATAACCTTCCCATGCAGTGGAGTGTTTGTCAAACTGATTTGATTTGGTCAGTTTTGAAGTGTTAGGTGATTCATAAGTGGATACTGATTCGGATTGAAGAATAAAATTTGAACGGTTATGACTAGGCTCGCAATTTAAACGTGTGTTAGCAGTTAGCTCACACTTAGCACTATCAAATAGTTCTGAAGAATATTCTCTAAGCATTGAATATGTATGTTTTTTTTCTGACGGATTTGAATTGAAAACCAAACGTGATTTTGGCTGCCTGACAGGTATTTTAGAAGGAGTGAGTGGTGTATGATGCGCCTGCGACAAAACAGCTTCTTCGTGCTTGGCAGCATGTGAAACATATTTCAAAGGATCTGTGACCTGTGATTTATGCACTTCAGTATTATGCTCGGAAGATTCAAAGCCGTAATCATCTGGAGTGCTCAATGCTGTTGACTGTAAAAGCTAACATACTATTAAAAATTTAGTCGTGCTATTTGATTAGGTATTCATGGAACAATATGACAGCAGCAAGTATATATTAGTTATCAATAAATTAACGTGAATTCTCAATATGCATTTTAGTAGTCTGTGCTTCATATCTATGATTCTATCTCGTGTGCTCCTAAAATCTGAATACTGCACTGCAGTATCACTACACAAAGAACTGTATGTAGAGGAAATCTTCGCAACGATTGAATAGAACAAGTCAAAAAAACTTTCGTTGACACCAGATACACTCAAAGTATTCGTGATTAACTCATGAAAAATTAAGACCTGACTAACTTTATCTACAAAAAATCACACAGCATTTACCTTGACTTATCTAGAAAAACAAGATTGGAATTAAGGAGCAGCAGAAAATGGAAGCTATAAACCACTTTAATGCGAATATAAAGACAACAAATTTAATGTACAATAATGCAAACCTCATTTCCTTGAGATGATTCCATGGAATTTGACTCATTTATTAGTCGTCGTAATTTATTTACATAAACGTTTCTCGTAGTTTCAACGACTGGACCAGGATCCAGACCGCGCAATATAAGTTCATCCCGGATCTTTTCATTACTATAGTTATCGAAATCAACTTCCATTATTTTCGTTTTACGAACAAATGAAGCTGTAAATTAAAAGGAAAGCTTAGAATCATGTGAAAATAAATACAAAAATAGAATCGAGACAGTAATTATAAATGAAGTAACATGAGCTTGTAGGTGAAAGCATCAAGAAATTTTGACAGTAATCGCGAATTCATTTGAAGAAAATCTGACAAAGCTAATTTGAAGGGCTTAATACATAATAATTTAATCAATAAAATGATGACAACACTGAAATCTTATGTGTACCTACATTTTTTCTCAAAAAAAAAAATTAGAAAGAACATGTTTCAGATCTAGATTTTAGGTTCTACATACTATACATAAAAACGCTAAACATACTAAAAACGAAAGAAAGCTAAGTAATAACGAGACTTAAGTACGATATTAATAATCATGTCAAGTCAGGTAGCATGCTTAGAAGACAACTTTTAATAAAAATAGTGCATTCGATGTTAGCAAGTTTACTATAAAATGTTCCAAACCTGTATGTTGCTAGGCTTAAAATATCAACTTGGCGCAAAATAAAATTGTAAGCACACAGTTTATGATTATGAGATCATAAAAGAAATTAAACATACTATAGTATACCGTACCATTATTGTACATGTGTGATTAGAGATGCTAACACATGAATTACCAAAAATAATGAACGAAAAAGTGCAAATATTAGTACATAATATGTGGAATACTTTCAAAACGAAAGAAAAAACAGGTCAAGATGCTACAAAATTTTAGGTAAAAACCCTTACGTAACAGGGAGTCTCCTATGCAAACGTAATTTACGTAAATAAGCTAATTCCACAAGTCGATAGTAACATACGTGAGAAAACTTTCTCACTTTTCTCGCATACTTGATAGTAATTAGTTACAGCAGATAAGAAAAAATCACGCAACGTAAAGCAAAAAACAGAAGTTGAGCAACGCACATAACCAATCGATTAGTAAAACTGCAACAAATCTTACCGCAAATGGCTTTCAAAAATATTACGAAATTAAGCAAACCGCGGCGTTCACCGGTATTTAATGGGATAAGCTTAAGTCTCTACATTGAAATAGTGTGCAATAAATTGGCCGAGCTGTATTTTACGGATTGCTGTTTGCTGTTGGTGTAGCGAATTTTTATGAAAAATACAAAAAGTCAATTATTATAGCTAACGAATTTTAAGAAGAAATGTGTAGTCATGCGGAATTTTATTTTATTTTTTCATTAGAAAGATTTGAAATTAAATCTGAAGTTCAAAAATTTTGTGGCCAAATTGTCTATCTACAATAATAATTATCATCATTTTTTCGTTTCTTTTGATTACTGTTCCGCCATTATGAATGTATTTATTTACTAGAATAAAAATTGTGTATTATTTGAAAAAATGAACTCCAAGTATTCTTCATGTCTCCATAATTATTTGCTCTTTTTTGAATGTTGATTATTTTTTATTACTTTTGAGTTATTTGAAATACAAAGTAGTTATTCAGGATTGTTTTCTTTGGAGTAGCTAATAGACTAGCTAACCATTCGATATTTATTTGCTGAGTATTGAATATGAAAATTGATTTGAGTACCTATTCTTGTATGATGCATCAGTAATTCACATAAAGCTTTTTAGATAGCTGTTGATTTGTGCAAGATGGCTTATTCTGATTTAGAGGATTTTGGAAGCACTAATCAGAGCTCCTTATTAGAACATAAATATTTATCTGAAGATGATCCATTGTTGATCAGTTCTTTACATAGTCTCGATGAAGATTTGCATCTTTCATCGTTTAGTGATTCGGAGCAGTTGGAAGAGTCATTGAACATTGCTGAAGTAAGAGTTGCATTTACTTTTTTACTTTTAGAATTTGGCACTTTCAAACTAAGTATCGCAGTCGAATAATATGCTATTATATTGGTGCCCAATTCTGGTTAGAGAGTTGTAATTCAAAACAAGTGATTTGGAATCGAGTATTGTTGTTGTTTGGATATTTATTAGATATTTTTTATTTAGTTTACGAAACACAAGCAGTCTCTCTTGATAATATTCCATTAATTTAGCTATTTTTTAGTAATGTGGTCTGTTTTATATATATCGACAAGAAAATGATAAACGCTTTCTGTAATTAAAAGATGTCGTTGTAATAAGCGGCTACATAGAATTGAGACCAAAATAAAATTACTCGCTATAAACAGAAATGACGACAGAATTGGTGTTCAGAATGTTAATTAATAAAAATCAGTTCAAATCAATTCAGTTGTCTATTATATTTGAAATACTTCATATTTAATTGTCTGTAATGTTAGAAATATTTCACAGCTAAATTTTTAACTTTTATGGATAATATTTCAGTGTGCTACGAGTTCTAATTGTAACATCATTCAGCAGAAATGGAAAAGTATAGCACCGTTAACTACTCGTAAAAAAGCTACGGTATGTTTTGACGTATTCGTATTAATTACGAATTCAGCGTAATAGACGTTAAATGATTCAGTGTGCATTATTCATAAATCTACATCAGTTGCAGTCTTCATCGGACCCTCATCTTACATTTATAGTTTTGATTTCAAGGCTGACTGCAGAAAAATGAGATTTTATTGAAGCAAATTTCCAGATATGTAGATTTCATAGTTCATTAATTATAAAATCTCCTAGTAGCGCATGGTTCAAATCTATAAATAATAATTAAGAAGGTCTGTGATGAATGTTTCAATTTGTCAGATTTATTTAATACGATCTTTATTTTGGTACACAATTTACCATTTTCCGAATTTTTCCTCAATATTTCCAGATTGAAAAATGTGAATTTTGCGGAATAATTCTTAAATACCCTTCAAAAATTGAGGCGCATCGGCGAACACATACAGGAGAAAAGCCATATAAGTGTCAGATTTGTGGTTTAAGGTTTATATTGCGTTAGTGATTCACAAAACTACTTTTTCAAATTTAACTAATCCAGATGGTAATCTAATTTGCAGTTTAGTAGAAGATTTAAAATAATTTGGACTTGAAAATTTTGGTTTCACAGATTTACCCAACGTACACCTATGAGGATGCATATACGTCGCCATATAGGTCTCACACCATATCAATGTACTTGGGGATGTGGCAAACATTTTGTTTCCAATGCACTAAGAAATGCACACGAACTTCATGTGCATTTGAGAACTAAAAGGTTTATTTTGGATTTTGTGTCATTATTTGGAAATTAAGCATTTCAATAGCTAAAAATACTGTTTTGCATGTAGAAATAAATAAAAGCTACATTATATATTGTTTGATTCATCCCTTAACATTTAATTTTTTCATCGTGAGGCTTTAAAATTCTAGGCTTGGTCCACCTCAGCCACATCTAAAACCAGCAAAGTACTTTTTATCGCTGAAAGTAAATGAAGAAACTCGTAATGAAGAAGTTACCAGTGTTTCTGGCAGTCAAGAATCTTCGTCGGAAACTTCTGAAATAAGCAATGAAATGAGTGGTGGTTTGGATACTAAAGAATTTTCATTTGAAGAAACATCAGTAGATGGCATTGAGGACGGGGAAGTTGGTGGAATTACGTTGTTAGAGCGTGTTCATGAGAGCAAGAAGATTGATGAAGTTATGCTCTGATCATTATGTGGTGTACTGAAAGATTATGTCAGGAAATATTAATTTATTTACTTTTCATCATTTCAAAAAGTTGGTTGTAAAAAATTAAACCAATTTTTTGGTAGTTTCTTTAAAATTTTGTGCTTAAGTATTCCCTAGTACATCAGGAAATAATTGAGGTTGTCGACGAATTTAAAATTAATGTATCGAGAAATTAATTTTAAATGAATACATAGGTAGTAGATGAAATGGTTTCATCGAATGCACCAGTCAGAGGACGAAGAATAAAAATGCGTCGGAAGAAAGCAATGGTTACTCAGTGCAAAGAGTGTGGCTTACTTCTGAAACATCCGTCAAAAATTCAAGTACATATGCGCACGCATACTGGTGAACGCCCTTTCAAATGTACTTTTTGTGCAATGCGATTTGCAACTGCAAATCCCTTAAAATTGCATTTACGGCGTGTTCATACAGGTTGTTTTGTCATATCTCTACCACAGATCCTAAATTTTTGTAGCTAAATTATCACTGTTTAATTCTAGTTAAATGAGGTTTGTAGTCGATTAATCATGTATAAATTAAAATTGTTTTTATTCACGGATATTCTAACTTCATAAACGTGTGACTTTTTGAATGTATTTTTTCAATTAATTTTTTGTCACTCAGAGACGGAGTGTAAATTATTTATTGAAAGAAATGAATGTTTGGTACGTTTTGTCCTAGTCATCACTAAAATATTAAATAAATATCGAATAATAATATAGTTTTGTGGAGTCGAGAGTCGTTATGAATTAAAATTAAGGTGAGAAACCGTTTGAATGTTCATGGAATTGTGGACGACGTTTCGTCTCAGTATCTGTTCGTAATGAACATGAAAGAATCGTACATGTTGGTATCAAAAGTTATGTTTCATTTAACTCATCATGAATTTCAATAGAAACGAAATACGCATGAAAGTAATCAAAATCATTATAGCTCTCTTAACTCAGGTATACAGTTAGTCTTTTTAGAAGAGATAAATAAGCATCATGAATATTGTTGACATCACAACTAATGCGCTGAGTTTTTTTAATAAAATTTTTTAAAGATGCATATGATAAAGAAACTGAAGTCAAAAAAGATTGCTTTGCTGGTGACTTGGTGAAATTAGCTCACAAATTTAGATAATACACCTGAAAAATTATTATGATTATTTCAGAATTCACATACTATTATTTTGGTTTTAAAGCTCCAAGTTTATTCATCATTTATCGCTCTTTGCCTTTCAAATTTTATGTTAGATCAGTTTTTGTAAAGGAGTATGTTTTCTATTTCAAATGCTTTTCTTGAAAATATATACGATTCGTTCATATTCGTTACTTCATTTCAGGTACCGCTGTACGATAAATGATTGTCAGCAGTTCTTCACTCGTCGTCGTTATTTATTATTGCATCAAGCAAGGAAACATAAAGATATCACGGAAAAAGCTGAGAATGCAATCCATTCCGTGCTTGATATGGTAAAACAAGAACAAGAAATGATAAAAAATCCAGTGTTATCGTACAAAATGTAAGTTAAAAGTTGTAGGTTTTCAGGACCAAAGAAATTTTTTGTTGCTGCTATCGAAATGTTTCCTTAAGATTATTATCCAATTTGTTAGTATGTAGTGAAATAGAATTAAGTTGAAGGTATTTTGAAATAAAAAACTTGATACAGTTGAAATATTTCAAAAGAAAATTATCTTGCAGACTTCTTTATTGTGCATTCAGATTTATAAAGTTCTTTGCTTTCAGTTTATTTTCAAAATTTGAAAGGGTGATCTTTCGATGACTTCTAAGTTACGAAAGTAATCGATAAAACACTATCAACTAATAGTTTAACGGAATCAAATTTTCCTTTGCAGATCAAATACTGATCCTGCAGAAGAAACTTGGGCAGCTGATGATGGTATCAGTCCTTCAAGAGGAGAAGTTGTTACTAAGGTTTATTTTTATTATCATTATTTCTTTGAAATTCATTTGATAGTGAGGCAGTTTCGTAACTTTATTTAAACTTTTTTTCTAATTTACTTTTTGTATGAGGGATCATGAAATCTGTTAGCTGACAATCAGTTTGCGTAAATCTCTTGGTAGGTGAGTATTTGATCAAGTGACTCAAAAAAAAATTCTAAATGGAATAGTCTACAACTTTTTTCATTGATGTTTTCAGTTCCTTCTATAGACTAGGAATTGGTGATGATTTTTAAAATAGTGGAATAATCTTAAATAATTTCTTTGAATCGTGTTTTATTCTACTTCTACTCGGTATTTTTCATCCGAAGTTTGTTCTAGAACTTGATGTAAAAGCGATAAGAGTTTGGGTATGGTAGTTTCCGAAGTTTGGAAGCATATTTTTTTTTGAATTTTCGCTTCTCTCTAGTGCTTATCATTTTAAAGGTTTTAATTGACGAAATGGATGAATCGTTACTACCAGAAAATCATTATGTATATCCAGATGAAGCCTCTTATTTTGGTCATTATGATGAAATCAGTTTGGAACATGAAGTAAAGCAGCAAGAGTTTCTGGAAAGTCATTACTTTTCGAATGCGGATAATTCAACCATGTCTGTTAACTTTGACGTCGAGAATTTCGGTAATTTTGATATAGATACTCGTTATTCAATGTGTGAAGAAAACACCGCACTCACGCTTAATTATGATCATATTCATGAAACAAAAATAATGGCGTCAATGACATAGTCTCAAAAAGTTAGTGATATAAACTGGTAAGTTGTCTAATGTTGCAAATGAAATATATTTTATTTTTGTATTATTTTATTTAAAATGGTTTTAATATCCTTCGTCATCTATATCTGAAAAATTTTAGATTTCGTGATTTAGCAGTAAAATAAACAGAAAAATGGGTTTCTATTTTGAACTATTATTAATGGGAAATAAAGCAGTTTCACAGAGTTATTTTGATGAATTGTTAATTTAGCTCGAAATTCCGGTCTGTTTTATAAAAATTGTATATCTTTGTAGAGATTATGATTGTCATGTTTGCTGAGATATGTAAAACTATTTTTTCTGGTAAATGGATCTAAGAAATTCTCGCGATGAAGTTTTTGTAATCAATTATAAGTGTTATTGGCCGAAACGTTCTTGAATAAAACTTATAACTCTATAAATTTGCATTTTTTGAGCAAAGAAAAATTGGCTCTGCCTTTCGAGATTTTTAAAACGCAATAAATTTCAACTGAATCACAAGTAACTAATTTTAGTAGGTTTATAAATTTTGAAAACTTGCTCGAGGACAAATAAATAGATTTGAAAGCTCGAGGACAAATAAAATTGCAGATATTCATGCACTGGTCAGCAAATAGCCCACATGAATAAACATAACTGAAAGTGTGACATTACTATTTCAGTAAAGTAACAGTTGTGCGTAACAGATAAATAAGGAAGAGGTAAATCGATTTGTATAAGAAAAAGTAAATTAATTCACTAAAGTGCTTCAAAAATGTTACCATATAAATTTAGCATTTGGAAGCAAGAAAGAGTGATTGTCGAGAGACTTAAAAGGAAAACAAAGTAGTGAAATAAAAAGAAGATGTAGCAAAAAATCTGGAATGAATTTTCCTCTAGAAACATGGCGCAAGATATTGCAAACATATCTGGAAATAGCATGCAGCTAGGAGTACTAGCCTTGGATTATCATCAAATCTCTCAGTTGAGCCAATAATTCTCGACTTACAGTAAATCATGTAAGTTAGTTTATGGGTAATTGGATAGATAAATATAGGGTTATAATGAGCAAGTGATAACTGTATTCAAAACTAACGAGAATAGTATAGAAACAAGTAAATCAGATGAATTATATCTTATATTCAAATAAAAATTTTCTTATTTGTCAAACAAATTTTTAAGGAATACAAGAATCTGGTTTTAAATCAATTACAGGTAAACGATAAAAGTGTTTTGCGATCAACTGAAAGTTAAGCTGGTCAAAACATCCTTAAGTGTGCTTGGTGAGTCAATATAAGACGATTGAGGAATAAGTAAAGACTGGCTTAGAAATATATGATTTTTCTTTTTAAAATGGCGCAAGAAGAAGATAGTACGGTACTTTAAAAATGTTTATTTCAATTTTAACTGCCGCGACGCATAGAAAATAAACCAATCAAATAGCAACACATCTATCGATGTTATTTGGGACGCGTCACGGTCGGTTTTCCAATTGTGAAGAAATTGAGTAGAATGCGATTGCTTGTTGTTGAGTGCTAGGTTGGTCATTTACTCAGATTTACTGGTATTTCTGGCGCATTAACGTTTTACCGCGATGAAATACTGGTAGGAATTGCTAGAAATGTTATTTTTAAGAAATTTCTATCTTTTTGCAGTTTTTCTTGCTATAACGGTTTCTTTCTCTGATATTTTTGATCAAAATTAATAGAAAACCCGTATATATTATATTTTCAAAGGATTTTAAGTTAATTATAATTTTAGTCATGACTTTGTACATCATTTTGTTGCTAGCGTTTCCTTAACTGTTGCTGCATGAATAGCGAAGTTGCCCAAAATTAATCAAAATTAGATTTATCAGTCAGCTGTATTCTCATACTTGGTTAATTTTGTTTGTATGAATGAACACTACCTCACTCTCATACTTCGTTTCGGTCCGAAATTGATACTCATTGAAACAGTAATGCATTTTCTTTATTACCGGGTATGTAGTTTAGTTTAACAGGCTCAAGTATATAATTTTTCGGCCATGTATGGTTTTGATCTTATAATCATCTTCAGTTTTATGGTACTGTTTTCAGTGGATAAACATTATGACTTTTCAAATTTTTTCACTACTGTACGCTTTCAGCATCATTCATATATTCTATCAAATTGAAAACACCGTAAACTAATTTTTTGGGAAGTCTTTTGTGTAGCTGGAGGTGAAAAATTACTGCTTTTAGAAAAAAAATGGAGATGAGCAGGTTACTGTTCTTCATTATGGCATTATACTTTCAGACGGTATATTGAAATATGTACAATGTAGTGTTGTTTTATCTGCCACAATATCGTTTTCATAGCAGTTGAAAATCACTCAATATTTTCAGGATTTGATTGTGTTTTTGAATCACAACAAGTTTTCAAAATGGCATTCTTGGGGACTTCACTCGCATTGACTGTAAATTTACTATGGCTTTTGGCAGCAATAGACGCTAATGGAGATGTAATGAAATTGACTGATGCAAATTTCAGAGAAAGTATCGCGAATCTTGATTTAGTATTAGTGAAATTTTATGCTCCTTGGTAAGAGCTCATTAGTTTCATAACTTTCATTCTTGTTGATTATGCTTTTTTACATGACCTTAAATCTTTTTTCTTGAAGCTCTGCCTGTAATAACGGTGATTTGTGTGGTGACTTCCTTTTAATTTTTCATGTTATTGCATGTGTTCATAGTGCTTTTCACAAGTAAATAACTTGCTGATATCTTTAAAAGTATCGTCATAAGGTTTCAGGTGTACTCATTGCAAAAAAATAGCTCCTGAATTTGAGAAAGCAGCAAAGGAACTTTTGCATAGCGAACAGGATTCACCTGTATACTTGGCAGAGGTATTTCAGTTGCCCATGTCTTAGCGTATATATTCAGTTTTTCAGTTAATCATGTGATTGCTCTTTCAGAGTCACGAGTAGTGAAAAATTGTTCTTTAAATCTTTTATGAAATATTCACGAAATTTCATGGAATTCGTTACCTTGAAATGGAACTTTTTTATACTAGTGGCTTACCCTACAGATTTGAATATCTTCAGTTTCTTATTTTTGGACTGAAGATTAGAATAAATGCTAAACCTTTGTGTTCTGACGTGATTAGATTTGGTGTAAGAATTAACTGCGTGAACAACTCGGTTTTAAATAACTTTTTTCGCAGTCATGATGTTGAAATTGCAATGGCGGTAATATAAGTCTTATTTTTTAAAGTTCTTGGGACAGTTCTCCAGTCTTACTGGACATCAGATAAAAAACTACCTCTTGATACTTTATGAATGTGTAATATTCGCACATTGTGGTGAAGGTATTGAAATATGATATGATTTTTGTTTCAAAATGTGATTTCAACCTGCTCTAGGTGGATTGTACAGAGGAAAAAAGTACTTGTGATGAATTTGGTGTTCGAGGATTTCCAACATTGAAGATTTTCCGAAATGGTATATTTACGCAAGATTATGACGGCCCAAGAGTATCAGATGGTATTGTAAAATACATGCGTGCTCAAACAGGCCCATCAGCTACGGAAATCACTGAAATTGCTGATTTCAATAAAATTTTGGAGGCGGATGATGTAGCGATTTGCGGTATTATTTCTAAAACTTATGTAATTAGTGTCCCATATGTTATATTTCTTGATATTGAAATCAAATTTTTCTGGCAGATCTAGTGGATAATTTTTTCTAATTAATGGCGCTGTTATTATTGAACTCTGAATGAATGCCAAGAAAAAAGATTTCGTTATGATAGGTGAACGTAGAGAAATTCTAAATAAGTTTCATGATAATGTATTAACTGCGAATATTTCACTCTATCATTAATCTAGGATTCTTTGACGGAGACAGTAAATTGAAAGATTCATTCTTGAAAGTTGCGGATACTGAAAGAGACCGTTACAAGTTTGTTTGGACATCAAGTAAACAAATATTGGATTTAACTGGATATAGTGAGTAAGTTTCACCTGAATTTTGATTGTAGAACACATACGTTTATCTCAGTTTTCAGTTTCTTATAATGACATTTTTATAGTGATATTGTTGCTTATCAGCCGAAGAAATTCCATAATAAATTCGAACCGAATGAATTCAAATATGATGGAAATTACGATACGGATAAGATTAAAGAATTTCTTTTACACGAAACGTACATATATTCATATTAAATTCATCTTATTAGATATTGCTGTCTAAAGTAAAGTCTATGTTTAAGCTGTCTAAAGTAACATCCTATCCAATTTTTCAAATTTTTAAGTTATTTTAATAGTAATTTAAGAAATATTGGACTTTTATCTGTTTAATTTAATTTTATTTTGTAAGGCTTTTATGGTCTCTACATAATATTTTGCAGTTACGGACTTGTTGGCATACGAACTTCCGAGAATCTTTACCAGTTTGATCGACTTCCAATGTTCGTTGTATATGGCGCGATAGATTATAAGTTAAATCCAAAAGGTATTTACTTGATGTCTTAGTAGGGAAATGAAAGAAATATTTATCGATTTGAATCTCTATGACGAATAAACTGCTTCCAGGTTCTAGTTATTGGCGAAACCGCGTCCTTATGGTTGCTAAAGACTACAGACGGAAAGCTTACTTTGCATTGAGTAACAAAGCAGATTTCACTCATGTAAGTATTGTACATTTTTAGGTGTGTACTTCCAGTTTTCGATATAGCATTATAGGCAGAGGAATGTAACTGTGTAGTAATCTGCAATGACGTATAAAGGACGATCTCACATTCTTTGTTTAGAATGGAAGACTGCAGCGATAAATTCTAATATTTCATCTCGTTACGAATGGCGTATACTGTATTCGACGTAAGTTCTAGTTTTCAGGATCTTGAGGAATTCGGCTTGTCTGATCGTCAAGATACCAAACCTCTTGTCGCTGCGCGTAGTAATAAAGGAAAATTCTTCATGAAAGATGAGTTCAGGTAATTACTACAAAGCTTACGTATAAGTTATTGCTGTTTGTAATGAAAGTATTGAATTCCAGTTTTGTTTAGAAAATATAATAGAGGCTCTTACAATAAGGATTTTTTTCGGCAGCTGCTATTTTTACGTCAGGGAGACTGAAGTTATCACATGTTAAATGTTCATCAGATTAAATGCATTATGGAGTCACATTATATATATCAGGAAGCAGTATATCCGTCATTTCATCAGACGTAACATAAAATTGTGTATTCGTTTCAGCGTTGAAAATTTGAAAGAATTTGTTGAGGATGTTATACATGATAGGCTCGAGCCACATATGAAGAGTGAAGAACCACCAAAGAAACAAGGCGATGTGAAGGTCTATTTAAATCTTGTTAAAAGGTTTCTGAGTAGATTAGCACGAAAGTAGCCGTTATGGATGGTACATTTCAGTTCAGAAACTTTCAGACGTGTTCTCTTTATTCCTTGCAAACTTTTCTTTTGTTGAAGTGTCATGAAATTTGGGTAAACATATCTTGAAGTTGCAAAAAATTTTCTGACTTCTCACCGAAGGTGAGAGAGTTAGTTTTGTTAGTTGGATTTCACTTTACTATTCTCAGTTCAAAAATTGAAGATATCTCTAATGTTTCGTTTTAACTTAGCATTTCTTTTACCTCTGGCGTTACCGTAATTCATTTCCTCAATTGTTGTCCAAGGTTTTAATTTCTTCCTTTCTGATTTTCTTGCGAAAAGGGGTTCTCTGACCTACATTTTTTCGTTATCATACTACGATTTTATTCAAAGATGGTATGCTTGTAATCCACCTCTTTTATGCTTAAGGTCGTAGTGGCTAAAACATTTAAAGAAATGGTCCTTGATGTGGAAAAAGATGTTTTGATCGAGTTCTATGCACCGTGGTGCGGACACTGCAAAGCACTCGCACCTAAATACGATGAGTTAGGCCAGAAATTAGCCGATGAGTCTGATGTTATTATTGCAAAGATGGATGCAACAGCGAATGATGTTCCGCCGCAGTTTCAAGTACAAGGGTAAGGCTTTTTGAACATGCTTTTTATTATTCATTAATAAGTATTTGAAAGTGTTAAATCATTCATTCAGAAGCACATTTAAAAATGAGCGATTATTGCATTCAGTAGATTGTGTGTTATCCTTCTTAGTGTAGTCTAAAATTTAGCGTCTGTAACCTTTTCCATTTGCTTTTTATTGCTAGTTTAAATTGACTGCTCGCTCCAGACACGTAGATATACACTTTAAAATCACGCAGTGGGGATCTCAAACAATTTGTCACGATGACTTGACATGAGTCGTCATTTGAGTTTAATGTGTTTTTTTTCTTTCTCTTTATTGATGTTGTTTGGCTTCGGTTATTGGAGGTTAGAACTCAGTATACCCAGCGGGGATTCGTTTTACTCTGAACTTTGATTTATTACTGTAGTGGTGTCCTCATAGTAGTGCTTCTGACCTGTTGGGTCACCATGATTATATGCACTTCACGCTTCAAATGTTTTTTCTCACTGAATTTATTTTTCTGTGCTGACTAGCTGTCTTGAATTGTTCAGCCCTTTCAGAAGTGTCTCATAGCTATCAGTTTTACATTCCCTGGATCATGAAAATATAATGATAAATTTTATTTTCTTGAGGTTTATTTCCTTTTATTAGTTTAATTACCTTCAATCCCTCCTTTTGCGTATGACTATTTATTACACAGTCTGTAATTTTTCAAGTTATAGACCAAGTTTAGCTCGAATTTTAATCTTAAGTCAAGCTGGCTTATCAGGAGAGGTCGTTACGGATGAGAACATCGAGATCAGAGTCGATACGCGAGTAAGAACAGCTATAAAGAGAAATGCGGGTCGAAGGATATTATGATTGACGATAAGAAGCGATATGAAGTAATTCAGATAGAGTTTAGCATCACTAGTCAGGACAGGTTAACAGCAGTCGAGACCGAGGAAAAGCGAGAGTATGATCTATTGGTTAATAAACTCCGGTCATAGATGAGGTGAAGAACGTAAATACTTCCGTATGTAATGAGTTTCGATGGGAAGTTCCATATATGCAACGCGAAGGGGATCCGTATCCTATATCTGATATCTTAAGGTATGTATTTAATCGATAAGGCTCGAGAAGACGGTTAGAAGTATCTCATTCAATGACAGCTATGAATTTCACAAAAATGCAGCAAAATAAATCATTACAACAAATCTGGGCGCGGAACAAGTACAGCCAGAGTGCCGGAATACGATCTAGTGTCTGAATCAATAACGCAGAAAATGATAAATGTCCATATTTCTCTTATATATATATTTGCATCTGGTATTCACTAAAACTCATTATTATAGTATCAGATCAGGTGCTCGGATATTTAGCCTTTCTAAATTTATCACTAATCTATAACTTGTATTGTTTGTACTATCAGACATTGTGTTGATTCATTTATAGCATTAATGAGTTTTTAGCCGTGGTATTGCTAGACATTGTATCATTTCTCTACTTTTTGGTGTGAGATTTTTCTTTATTACTTGCATATTGGCAAGTACGTTATTTTATGAATTGCAAATATTAGCTATGAAAATTCAAGTGTCAAATTTGGATCTTTTTAGAAATGGCTCATTCATTTTTTCTTAAAACGAGAGCCTTTAGTCTTTCATACTGATATTTCAAATCTTTCAAGCTGAACTGTATTTTTTATTTCAGAGTGAGGCTTACATCCAGTTTTTTTTTCAAGTTTCTTAGTCATTATTAGAATTTTTATCTACAAGCAAAGTTTTTTTTACATTGCTTGCAGGTTTCCGACTATTTATTGGGTTCCGAAAAACAAGAAGAATCAACCGGAGCCATATTCTGGTGGTCGTGAAGTCAATGATTTTATAAAATATATTGCGAAACGTTCAACAGTAGAACTGAGAGGTTATGGGCGCGATGGCAAACCGAAGAAAAAGGAAGAATTATAACTGACTCGCTATTGTTGCTGGACATATATTCAGGAGAACTCTTGTATCTAGAGAATTAACTCGCATTGTCGCATAGCAAAGTTTATTGGGGTCGTTTTTTGTTTTGGATTTCTTAAAATAATATTGGTTGGGCAGTTTAACAGAATTAGGATATTAGGTTAGCTGAAAAATATTTCGCCTGTTATTAATTTGTAATAATTGTTGGTTTTTTAATTTTTAAGTGTATATTTTGCAATTCCTGTTCTAGTGGAAATTAGTTATCTCTGATCAGTGCTGACTATACAAATTAATTTTCATTCATTCGTTCTAAAATTTGGAGTCAAGACTTAGAATTATTCAAATGGTAACTTTTCCTCTAGATGTGTATGGTTCGTATTAAAATGGTAAGTAAACATTTAACTGCTATTGTGGGATTTTTTTTTCGGGTTTTGTTATTCGTAGAATTTTATGTTTCAGTACATTCTTGCATTCCATCATAAATAGTTAGGGCTTATTTAATTTGTTTTCAAAGTGGATGAAACAATTCATTGTTATCCCTTGTTCCGTCCTCATGACTCTAAAAATTTTGTCTGCAATGATGATATTTGAAGCTAGGGCATTTTTCTTTAGGTGACGTGTTAACTTTGTTTCAAATGTAGTTTGAAACATAGTGTTAACTATGTTTCAAGGTAACGTGTTAACTTTTCTTGCTTCTAGGTTGAGACGTAATTTATTTCTGGAAGTTGTGATATACTACTCTACACTTGTTTTTCATCTCATTCAGTTTTGTATTGAAAATTCTGAGGCAAATTTCTCCGTGCCTTAGGCTTCCATCGCCAATCATTTAAAGACTTGTTACAGCAGTTTAGGTTTTTGGTTACCATTTTTCTATTGTTTCATTAATATTATTATCGTACGATGTATTTTCTTTTTCTGCTTTTTTAAATCGACTTCGATTAAAAATTTTATAATTTTTCGTGCATTGAAACTCAGAAAAGGAGGTTGTGGGAGATAGATGCTACATGAAGAAGGAATTTGACAGGTTTGAAATTCCGCTGGTGCATTTCATAGCTGGAAGTGTCCCGTTTGGAATATCTTCCGATGCTCTCTGGTTTTTGTGTGGTAGTGCGTTGCGTTTCGCGTCCAGCGTTCTCTTACATTAATGGTATTATAGTGAAGTAGAAAATAGCTATAGGTCAGTCGTAATATGGTATTCCTATCTGGTGGCTAATGGAGTTACTTTGTATTAGGCGTGGCAGCAGTAATCAGTGTTCACTGCTGAGCCTGAGATTTCGCAATCACTGCAGGACTCCTGTTGCAATCCAGGAGTTTCTATTATTCCAAGCAACAAGTTGTGGTTCTAAGGTTCATGTTGACGTGGCAATTCTTAATTGATCGGCGATGTAATTTCAGTTGTTCGAGAATGTAATTTCCGTGGAAGTACTCTTGCGTGTCGTTAATATCAATTCTTGCCTTACCATTGTATGACTAAGGGTGGTTTAGGATTGCTTGGGGTAAGGATATCCCAAAATTAGTGGTTGTATCTGTTTGATCAATATCTCCTAGTACTTGAGAGACTTGGATTGCATATCGCTTTTCTCAGACCGTTTCACATCAGTCCGTTGTTGTTTATGATGGGTTTGTAGGTCCATTATAGAATTGGTGGAAATGATTCTCAGACTCTGTTCTGCATCTTACGTGTTCGAGAAACCCGAGTAATGTCTGTAAAGTTGTCTGTGTGCGCAGAATGGCATGTAATTATTAAAATTGACTATCATTTGGTTTAGGTTGCTTTTTAGTCGGATTTTTTTTGGATCAGTTTGAATCCAGTTTTGGGTGGGTTTAATTTCGAATACTTATGTAATGATTAATACTTTGAGCGAATTTAGCTCTGAGTGCAGAGGAATTCAGTCGCAGTGGACACTTTTTGTAATTAATTAATTATCAAGAGATTTGTGGCTTGGCATATCGCCGAAATTCGAAGCTCTCACTCTTTTCGCCACTTTTTTCTGTATTAGATTTACATGCAATTATTTACATAACAGTTGTTTGTTGCAATTTTAAATCACACATGATCCTCCCAAGCCAAAAACAAGGCCATGCTTGATCCAGCCTGTGTTGTGATAAATCACTGATTTCTGTGCTGCGAAATTCGTACCTTCGTGTATTGCAGCTTTATAGCGACAAGTGTTTTTCCGTGTGTTGCACCTTTACAGCGACAAATTATGAATTTAGGGCTCGTAGAAGAAGTAAGAAGTATTTTGACAGAGACTAAATTTTCAGTATCTGCAGAAGAGCAGATTTATGTTGAAATGGAAATGAATATATCCATGAGTTTTGTCTATCGAGATTCTTTTCGCTCCATTTAATTTGAGTAAATTTTTTTGAGAAGAAATGCAAGTTTTCAAATTGTAAGTCAGAGAAATAGCAAATTTCAAATTGCTGACAAAACTGCATGTGCAAGGCTTGCATACCGTTTTTTAAAAATATATGCACAATTGATGGCAATGTGATTGGACACCGAAAAAATAAATTTTAATGCATGAAAGATAAATTATGTTTTCTCATTACCGGCTCAAATCTTGCTGCATATTTTTTGGAAAGTTATTATTGCATATTTTTATCATTAATTGTATAGTTATCTATGTGAATATTTAAGGGCGTATTATTATTATTCTGAAAAATAATGCTAAAAAATTTCTGCAAATTTTTGCCATAGAATTTGTGGTACTTGGTTTGCAATCTAAATGGCGGTAAAAATTTTTCAATTTTTTAATAATAGTAGTAGTGCTATTGTCAGTATAGTAGTAGTGCTATTGTCAGTACCTGCATGATTATATTCAATTATTTATAACAGTATATACCATAGAATAATTATGCGCATGAAAGTTCTTTTTTTGTTAAAACCTTGTCTTGGAAATGTTTGAAAATTCTTAGATAATAGATAGTATTGTTGTCGGAATTTTAATTTTAACTCAAATATGAGGGATACTATTCGATAAAGAATTATATATATTTACTTATTTATTTGTAATGAGATGGTGACGGAAAATCAGGAAGGTGGTTTCATCTACTGTACTGCAAATTTCAATGGAAAGACAAATTCTATTGTTGCGGCAAAAGTTTAGAACTTTATACAGATTGAATATAAAAATTTAAAAACCACTTTAGTTTCTTTGCATTAGAAAAATTGTTCCGGTTGATCATTTCCATTTTTTGGTATTGTTTCTATGAAGTAGTTCTATCATGTGTTTTATTTTATTTTTAATAACTAATTCCTTTAATTAATACCTTTACGCTGAAATATTCATTTAAGTTTTTTAATTTAGTATCCATGTGGAATATTTGCAACTATATCAATTAGCCTTGTAGTTTAGGGTTAGTTTAGAACACTTTTTACATCAGCTTATTATACAGGGATCATTTAGGCATGCACTAGCTCCACTAAGTTTTTCAGAATGATTTCATCAATAAAATGCTCTGGAGTTGACTAATTTTTGCCAATTTTTAGATTGGAAACGTCGATGTGATAATTAGAAGTACGTATTGTAAAATTTATGCAAAAATTCTGCCATAGCAATACTATTCTCTTTGCTACTTAATATTTCCATTGTGACATCAATTATTTCATTGTCACCATCTCCGTTTTTTCTAGTAATAATAAACAATGTCATCATCATCGTCATCCATAAGTTCGGATTCAGAATTTATAGCAGAAAGTAGCAGAAGTAGAAGTGATAGTACATCACTTCGCGAGCAGCTGACAGTGAATAGTGTATCTAGTTCAGAAGGTATGTTTTTTACATGAATTCAAAAAGTGCAAAATTTTCAGATTCTTGCATAGAAAAAACAGTGGACTCTCTCTCTGTCTATATACATATATATAGAGAGAGAATGTAAATAATTTCTGATTATTATTGTTTCTAGCGTTCATGCTGGTTTCGGCTAGTTCGTCTTCGTGGAATCTAAGCAGTAATCGAATGAGATGCTTTCCAGTGTGTTCCTGAGCAGTACTCATTGGATATGTATGCCTGAACTTTCGTAAACGTGGGCAAATCAGTATATGTGGTCGACATTATCAGATGTACTGATTTGCTCGCGTCTCTGCAAGTCCGTTACAATCTCATCCCAAGTCACCTCATAGAAATTATTACTTACTGCATTTCATCTTTGCTTCGAGTTTATCACTCTTTTGTTTTTTCTCGGTCTCATCTGTTATCTACTCCTGACAAGTCATTCCAGCTTCTATTAAAATTACTTCATGTGGTTCTTGTCGTGCACCAGGATATTTGATCGATCCGCGTTTAAATCTGTTCATCTCCATTTGCTCATTCGTGGCTAATTCTTGAACGGGCTGGTTCTGCATGCGTGGGAATGCTTTCAAGCTGTACTTCTTGCTTGGAGAGTCCCAAATAGATGCACTAGAACACTTCATTATGTTTTCTATTTTAGTCATGATCCATCACTTTGTCATACAGTTTTGGCAGATTAATCCACTATCTTTACTTGTTCCCGAAAAATAGGGACATACATTTCTCAGCTCCAAACATTTCTATCTTGGATATGACAATATCGTGGCTCTTCTTGTAGAGTATTAGTTCCGTATCGTAGCCATATTGATGAATCAGCTATTAAGACTAGATCTGCCTCTTGATCGTCCACAAGTAGTTCCCTCGTAGCAGCGTCCAGTTACATGACTCGTGTCACACATTTCGCTGTCAACTTGTAAAGATTCGGTATACAAGTTATTGGCCTGAAATGGATACCTTTGCTCGGAACACTTTTTGAAATCAGGTTGCTAGCTCTTTTGTAGAACCATGAGTAATTATGATATTTCCTCCTATTCAGACAAGTGTGTCTTATTATTTGTTTTTTACAAACCAGTCAACTGGAACTTGTGTAATATTAATTTAATTACATGCTAGCGTGATGCCTAATCGTAATTTCTAAATTAGGTAAAATAAAACCGTAATAAAAATTTTAAGTAGCACGTATTCAGCTTTTGGTGATTGCATAGATATTTCTGTGACTATATTATCCTAACTTTTCAGTTACTTTCACTATATGAATTGATTATTTTTGTCTTAGTGTATGGTAAATATTAAAATTAGTATATTATTTTCTCTTATTTGTATTTTAAAAGCAGAATTTTTTATTAGCAAATTTTGAGCAAGTTTGTAATGCCATCTCATGTAAATGCTCTCAGCTTAAGATAGACTCTGAAAAATTTTCTTTCTGAAATTTGCGTTCAATAAATGCCAGAACAAATACCAGTTGTTGCAGTTATGAAGTTCAGAATATTTTTTTACAAGCATACACTTGTTTTAGATTCAGAAAGATTGCTAGTGATAGTGTGTTATGCAATTATTTAAAGTTTACGTTGAAACCATGTGAAATCAGAAAATAAAATTCCGCTTTAATGAACCAAAGAGCTAACTTTTTTACTCACTAGCAAATTAAATTCCAAGTTTTTTCTCAAATGTACTCAGATGTAGTTTGAAAGAAACAAGCAGTGCACATTGAAGTGAATGTAGTAAATCAACTTAATCATGAATATTAGTAAATTAGTAATGTCAGTATGTGAAGAAAGTAAGCTATCAAAGAATAATTTTGTTTTCTTAAAGTAGAAATGCTTAAGAAGTTTCAGATATTCTATTTGTTTTCTTTACGGGGAATAATTGGAAAGACGATACACACTTTGTAACTTTTGGAGTTATATTGTAACGAAGACTTTTTTGTCTTTTTACAAACTGATGTGAAAGGGCAGAGAGCATCACGGTGCAATCATATCTCTTCTAGCATGGGCTTTGAAAAAAAAGTGATTGATTCTGTAATAATCTGTGAATATGTGTTAAATATTTACAAATTAACAAATTATTATTTTGGGGGTGTCTGTTTGTTATTTTACTACCTTTCATCCTATATCTGTGAAAGGGAAGTGATTTTATCATTTTTGACAGTCTTTAGAATAGAGCAGCAAAGATGTTGCAGACATTGTTGATGAGAAAAACCTGAAAAAAAAGTGAAACATTGTCATTATCGGTTAGAGGTCTAAAAAGTCATTTATATAAAAAAGAATATGAAAGTGATGCATCAGGTTCAAAAAGTAGTAAAGTATAAAAGTATACTGTACTTTTTTTTGGTTACTGAATATTTATTAGTGTGCCGAACAAGCAGTTAACAGTAACTTGAAATGGTAATTAACTATAAGTTTTAAGACGGTAAACATGTTTACTTTATGTATTCCCATGAAATCATTTTTGTCGTTTATGTTGCTGCACTTCTATAACTTCATAAAGAATGTGCTGAATTTTTTTTTCGAAATTTTAGCAGTTGTAGTCTTATAGATTGTGAAAATGACGATTTAATTGTGAGTGGATCGAAAAGTAAATCGTTATCTAGTACCGGGAATGGCGTTATGGAGATAATTACATCAAGGAAGAAGCGAGCCACGAAAATCACGGATGAAACAAGAAAAGTTTGTTTATAAAAGTAATTAACTATTGGTTAAGGATAATAAAAGTTATCATTTTTTGTACTTTTATACAGAGACGTAATTTACAAAAGCGTCTTTGCACAAATCACGTAAATAAAATTGAAATATATGTCTTATAGTAATAATTTGATCGAAGAATAAGCAAATTCAAGATATTTTCTAAATGAATAACTATCAAAATCCACACAATTTTGTTAATGCATAGTTTTCTATGTTTGATTCAGTTTGAATCTAGTTTAGCGTGAATCATTAAAGGATGATGTCTGGTAGTCAATTTTTATTTCAGTTCTTAGAGAATGAAAACATTTTGCGACGTTCTTCAAGACAGCGAAAAGAAACACAAGAGTCATCGCGGAAAGAATCACAGGAGTCAACCCTGGGTGTGGAGAAGAGAAAAACCCAGAAAAGGTATTTGGTACTAGTTACGATTGAAAAGTTTTTTTATTTTCATTAGCAGCATTATTACCGAATACGTTTTCAAAGTTTTTAATTTCGTTAGGAAGTTGCCAAAATCTGAAGATGAAACAAGTGACTCATCTATGGATATTGAGTCGACGCGTAAGAGACATCAAATATCATCAAAACCACAGTGTAAGAAACGATTACGGAAGCAACAGATAAGTTCTGATGATGATGATTCCGAAGGCAATCGTCCAATACGTCGGAGCAAAGTTGCTGCAGGAAGAAGTCGTATAAATTATCGAGATATCAGCTCAGATGAAGAGGTAACTTGTCTACTTTACTGTTAACTTGTTTCAGTATAACAAGTTCTGTTGGAAGATTTCAGGCTTTAAATTTGCCTGTGTTTATTAAAAACATAAGAAATTGTCTTAAATTAATGTTAAAGAGATATTTTGTTGAAATTTGATAATTACTAGTCAGGGAAAGTCTGATTTTTATTTTATGGAAAATTATTTGTTAATACTTTCAAAGGAAAATCAGCTGTTCGGTCATGGCAAGGTACATAAATATTAGATTCCCTATCTGTTATTTTCACATTTAAGTTCATATCAACGTGCTATTTATTATATATATATTCTATGCATTTATATTATATACATGTTGCTATGCTATATAAAATGCATTGATTACGACTGAATATCATTAACATCATTTAAGTGTTTTTAAGGGATTCATTAGTCTTATGTTCTGTCGTAGCTTTCTTAGTTTCAGATTAATACTGACGACGTATTGGAATGGGACGAAGGCGACACAGTTGAAGATACTTGTGCAGCAGATCACTCTGCTTTGAGTTACGAAACAATTGAGAAAGTACTCTGCCATCGAGCTGGGTATCCTGGCGCAACTGGAGCGTCTACAACATGTTATAATGTGGAAGATAAGGGCGATCCAAATATAAAACTAGCAGGTAATGATTGTAAGCAAAATGTGCAGCCTTGAAAACGATTATTGAAATGACATTATCTGAACTTTATGAACGATTCCGAACTTTGGTGAAAGTTTCCATCGGTAGTGCCATTTTCATAAACTTAATCATACATTTATGAATTACACAATCCAATTCAAAATGACATGGATTTGCTATACGTATAAAATTTACATTGCAAATTTAATTTTTAATGAATAATAGTGGTTTCATATGTTATTCATTCCATTACTATAAAAACACTTTACTACGCACTTTTTCAGAAAACTACAGTGAAAAAGAGTTGGAACGTCAATATTTAATCAAATGGCTAGGTTGGTCACATCTTCATAACACGTGGGAATCGGAAAACAGCTTAAAACTATGTAATGCAAAGGGATTGAAAAAAATTGACAATTATATGAAGCGCCTGAGAGATATTGAAGAATGGTAAGTTTAATTTTTTAACGAATGAAAACTTAAATAGATTAAAAAAGGAATAATAGTTTCAGTGTGTGAAGAAAATCAAATTTCTTTAAAAAATCCGAGTTAATAATTTCGTTGCTAAAGCTATGGGAGTGGATGAAAAATGAAGTATTATGATTTCAGGAAACTCACTGCAGATAAAGAATATATTGAGTTTTTCAATTGTGAACAAGAAATGAACGACGAACTTAACGAACAGTACAAGGTATTTTACATCCGTTTGTAAAAAAAAATCAAAAAAGTCAAAAACGCAGTGAAAGGGCTGTAAACTTTTTCTTTGTCTATCGAATATACGCACCAGTATTGCGACAGCTTTTGGTGCAAAACTTTTTATGGATTTTACAAGCCTTGTATAGAGTATAATAGGAAGTTTCCTTTAAGTAACAAGCAGCATACGAAGATAATTGCAAAGATTCTGTTTGGTATTCACTTATGTAAATAGTTTTTACAGTAAATGCGCAAATGATTTAGATTGTTGAACGAGTGATAGCTCATCAAGTATCGCGTAATCAAAGTGAAGCAGAAGGGAGAGAATATTTTGTTAAATGGTGTGGTTTACCTTATTCTGAATGCACATGGGAAGAAGAACATTTGATTGCTCGTCAGTTTCAGCATAAAATTGATGCATATTTTATGAGACGAAATAATGGGAAAACACCCAACAAACATTGCTTGGTCAGTTCTTTAAAATATTTTTTTCAGATAATTATTATTCGAGAATGAAGTATTACACCATTTCCCGTGTTTTATCACTGAAATGGCAAAATTTCTCGTAAATTAGTAATATTTTCTTGCTTCGATACTGTGCGTACTCATGTTTACAAGTATTGCTCACACTAAAGCAGTGAAACAATTCTGTGGACTATAGTATTTCCTTTTTAAAATAGATTTATGTAAATTTGAGGCATATAAGTTCTTATTACAATAAGTGTAACTACGTTTTTAGTCCAGCGCATCTTTGTATTATTTTAAAATAACGCTTAAATCGTTGCTTTTACCACTTTTTCATATACCGTCTCACATTTTTACTTTTTTTATTTTTTATTTCATTCTCATCGGTCAGAAATACCCTTGTTCTTAATTTTGTTCTTTACTGCTTACGCTGAAAAAATTTCCAGGCATTGAAAAAACGACCAAAATTTGAAAAACTCAATGATATCCCTAGTTTTTTAATACGAAAAGATGATTCAGAGCATGAATTGCGCGATTATCAGTTAGAGGGAGTGAACTGGATATTACATGCTTGGACCAAGTTAGTTTACAATTTGTAGTGCGAATATATATCGTAAAAAGAATAAATAAAGTTTACTTGATTTTAAAACTTAAAAAAAAATCAACATCGTGTTTTTTCGTGTTATTCTCCACACTTGCCTACCATTTTTATTCCTCTCAAGAAAATGATTTTTCTTTATTGGATCTATTTTAGTTGATAAGCATTAAAGTTTCAGAATTAATTAGTTATGAATCCTTAAAATAAAGCATTACTTCCCATTAATATTGTGTCAATGGGTTTCAGAGAAAACAGTTGCATTCTTGCGGATGAAATGGGTTTGGGCAAAACAATCCAAAGTATTAGTTTTTTATCTGTACTCTATCACAAATATTATCTCTATGGGCCATTTCTGGTTGTAGTACCATTAAGCACAATGGCATCGTGGCAGCGTGAATTTGAAATGTGGGCACCAGATCTTAATGTTGTCACTTATGTCGGTGATGTCACTAGTCGTGATTTGGTATTTATTCTTATTTTTATACACTTTTTGGAGATTTCAATTTCTTTTGGATATAAAAAGCTATCTTTATCTTTCCTTTACAATACTATATTTGAACTTAAAGGCATTATTTTAATTCTTAAGTATATTGATTGATAAATTATTTTATATGGTATTAATTTATCTTTTCGTAACAGTAAAATTAATGCGATAAATTTTGTTGAAGTCAGTGATATTATATATTTCATAGTTTGAACGGATTTTCGATTTGCAGATAAGACAATTTGAAATGTTTGTACAGAGCACAAAACGGCTAAAAGCTAATGTTGTATTAACAACGTACGAAATACTCCTGAAAGACAAGGCAAATTTTTTTCATAACATCAAAGATTTAGTCTAGTTGAGAGTCGTGTATATCAAACTGTTTTCATGATTGTGTTTTTCTCTTACAAAAATTCATTTTTCCTCTTACTTTATCTGAACGTGTAGGTAGTTAAGTTTTCAATATATTGTTGTACACTTAAAAAATAAAAATGAAAGGTATTTTAATTTTTCAATCAATATATACTAGTAATATTTCATTACTTCAGTCTTTTCTTGGTTCTTTCGAATGGAGCGTATTAGCTGTCGATGAAGCACATCGTTTGAAAAATGATGAATCACTGCTATATCGTTCGTTAACAGAATTCACAACAAATCATCGATTGCTCATAACAGGAACGCCACTGCAAAATTCATTGAAAGAACTCTGGGCGTTGCTCCATTTCATTATGCCAGAAATGTAACTATTTCATTTTCAAGTAAAAAGACCCCATATGTGTAGAGTTTTGAGAATTTAGAAATTCAGTCGATTTTTTCTGGACGAAGTACCACATGCAGATTTTTGCAATTTTCTTTTTTCTTTTTCTGCAATATAAAAGTAGTACACTTTTATAGTTCTGTGTTGTACCTCGGCTTCAATTTTATGAAAGTTTATTGCAAACTTATCAGATAATGCTCATTTGTAGCCAGAATATTGATTGAATAAAAGTAATTTATTCATGGAACTTTATCACAAATGAGTACATTTGCTTGTCTTCTGTTTTACTTTTGTACTCCAAAAGAGCTGAATAATTTTCGTATAATATTAACTAGTTTTTTTCCAAAACTTAGTTTATTCCATTTATACCTTTTTTTATAGGTTCGACAGTTGGCCTGAGTTTGAGACTGAACATCATGATTCTAATCACAAAGCTATTGCATCATTACATCGCAAGCTACAACCTTTTTTGCTGAGACGGGTGAAAAAAGATGTTGAAAAATCACTACCAGCAAAGGTTTACAACTTAAGCCGTTTATTATATCTAATTATGAAATGCAGTATGATCGAGAACTGCTTCTATTCATAAGATGTGATCTCTAACTCAGGAATTTTAAAATGTGATCAGTCAAACATTCATTCGAAATTTTTGAACTTCATTGCATCAAAATTAATGGGCTGAATTTCTAGGTTGAGCAAATCCTTCGTGTTGACATGACTGCCCAGCAGAAGCAATATTATAAATGGATTTTAACAAAAAATTACAAGGAACTATCGAAAGGTGTAAAAGGATCCATAAATGGATTTGTAAATCTGATGATGGAGTTAAAAAAATGTAGTAATCATGCATCACTTGTTCGGCCATACGATCATTATGAAGAAGGTGTGGATGATCGATTGCAGGTTTGTCAAAATAAGAAGAGCAGGAAGTAGGTTATATATTATTTTGTGCTACAAAAGAAAAAAAAGTGTCTGAAATTTAATTTAATTTGCCAATTATTGCATTCGTCAAATAAGTTACTTCTAATAGTAATAGAAAGACAAGAAAAGCTACTCACTATTCATGATTACTACTAATTAATCACATAATCATAGGTATGTGATTAAGAGTAACGTTCAAGATACTTTCCTTTGAATGTAAGGTAAAAAAAAATTTCAGCAGTTGCTAAAGTCGTCTGGTAAATTAATCTTACTGGACAAATTGTTATGTCGTTTGCAAGAAACTGGACATCGTGTACTGATATTCTCACAGATGGTAATGATGCTTGATATCATTCAGGAATATCTACAGCTTCGACGCTTTCCCTCGCAGGTAAAAAGTTTACCAGTTTTTCATTTGAAATTTTTTAATTTTGCATTCATAGTCAAAGGTATAAAATGAAGTTTAGCTGAAAATTGATGTTCTTTCACATTAGTTATAAACTGTGGAATAACTGTAGTTGCATAATTTATATAAATGGAACAGAAAAAGCTATTACATGGCTTCAATCCTGATCCGAAAGAGATAATTATTTGTGGTTTGAGTTTGTGGTTTGAAAGCTAGACAAGTTCTTTGCGTGTTGTTTTAACAATTGTTCTCATTAAGGATTTGGAAAAGTAATTAATTAAGCTTAAGTTGTATACTATTAACATCTGCGCATGTAATATTATGCGCAGTTACATGTTAATACTGATCGTGATTGATGTCATGTAATAATTTAAGTAATTGATTAAGCATAAGCTGTATGCGATTTATAAGAACGAACCTAATTAAAATTCCATAAAACCCTGAATAATCATTGTTGGTCTTAGAACCATCTAATCTCTAAGACCACCAATGGTTATTCAGAATATTGGTTTTATGGATATGTGATTAAACTATAAGTACCTTTAAATTGTTATTTTAGAGATTGGATGGTTCTATGCGTTCTGATCTTCGTAAAGCAGCATTAGATCATTTTAATGCTTTAAATTCATCAGACTTTTGTTTTCTTCTTTCTACCCGAGCTGGTGGTCTTGGCATCAATTTAGCTACTGCTGATACGGTGATTATATTTGATTCAGATTGGAACCCTCAAAATGACTTACAAGCGATGAGTCGTGCTCATAGGATTGGCCAGAAGAAACAGGTTAGTGATATTGTTTGTAGAGCAAAGTTACAAGTTCCAGTAAAACTTGTTCATAGAGAACTCGTCGTAGGAAGAGGAATTCCTTTATAAGAACGAACCTAATTAAAAAGCACTCTATCGTGATTAAAATAAATCTGCAATCAGCATGGATAATTTTCAGTAATTGAGGTAGTAGAGTCATTTTTTTAAGGTCAATATATATCGGTTAGTGACTAAGGCATCAGTCGAAGAAGAAATTGTGGAAAGAGCAAAAAGAAAGCTAGTATTAGACCACCTTGTCATTCAGGTAAGAAAGAAAAGTTATATGTATTTATATATGCAGCTTATCTGTATGTTTATCTCCATTAATTAAATCAGGAAATTTGGAATCAGTATAAATTATTTTTAATAATTCGGTTGAGGAATGTTGAATCAACGTTATTCTAGAGGATGGATACAACAGGTCGAACAGTACTATCAAAAACTAATGTGTCTAATAGTACAATACCTTTTGATAAGCAAGAGCTGGCTATGATTTTAAAATTCGGAGCGGAAGAGCTTTTTAAAGAAAAAGAGGGTGAAGAACAAGAACCAGAAGTTGATATTGATAATATTTTACAAGGCGCTGAAACACGGGAATGTGATCAGCAGGTATGGTTGTTTTTCTAGGAGGAATCTTCCCAAATTATTATAATGCTTTATTAGCATTCGTCAAAAAATTTTTAATGATCATTTCCTGGAGCTTGTTTATAGGACTGTGGCAGTGAGTTACTCAATGCCTTTCGTTACGCAGATTTTTCATTTGATGAGAATAAAGATGTTCCAAAGTTAAATATGTCAACTGCTGCAAGCAAAACAAATCAGGATTCGACAACATCAAAATCTTGGGATGAAATCATTCCAGAAGCTGATCGAAGAAAGATTGCTGACCAGGAAAGAGAAAGAGCTGAAAAGGAGCTTTTTCTTGGTCCCAGACAAAGGACAAAGGTGTGGCAAATCCACAATTATTTCTGTGCTTCAAGGAAGTGTTTATTACGAAATACAAACTTTTTAATATTTGTTCGAGGCGTCCTGATTTTGCATGTTAGCATGATCATTCAAAAAGCAGTTGTAACAGCTAGTGTGTGTTTTTTTGTTGCATAAAGCAGTCATTTTCGTAGCTTTCTTTGTTTTGCATTTTGACATCAAGCCAGATTTGCTAGCATTTCTACGTTAATGATGATTAGTCTTTGTAAAGTTACTGAATAGCAGAAGCGATTTTATATCCTTATGATGCCTGCTGATAAGATCTGAAAACTAAAGAAGTGCACTGGCAGTATAGTTTAAAATGTGCAAGTTTTTTATTCAAAATAAAGTTGATTGCTTTTCAGATACCAGAGGTGGCTGCAGATGCTGGTGATAGTGATGAAGATAGGAAAAAAAAGCTGAGACGGAAACGTGGTAGGGAATCGCCATCAAGTGAAGAAGAAGAAGGCTCAGATGAAGATAAACCAAAGCGTGGGCGGAAAAAGATGCTTTTCAATTTTACTGAGTCAGAAGTGCGGAAATTCGTTCGAAGTTTTCGAAAATTTGCAGAGCCGTTGACTAGGTAATGCTTGTTTGGTTTTTGTTTTGCTTTTTTTTACTCTTTTCATTATTAAATTCAAAAACTTTTTAGTAGTATTTAACATTGTGACAATAAGTCCATACGTTTTAGGTTAGAAGCAATAGCTCAAGATGCAGAATTGGAAGAGTTTAGCAAAAATGAGCTTCAACAGCTGGGTAATGAACTGCTAATTGGGTGCCAAAAAGCTCAAAATGATTATGAAGCGGTTTTTAAGGAAACAGTGAGAAAACCGTCTGAGGATGGGAGGAAGAAACAGGTTTTCTCATTATTTTCGGGTTGTAATATGTTTTTTATTCTCTCACTGCAATTAGTCAAGTAAAAACAGAAGAATGCAAAGTCTGCGCAAAGAATTTATAACAGTTGGAATCCATAGTTTCTGTCCATTGATCGTATGTCAAAATTTTAGGATCGTGGAGCAATTTTCAAATTTGGAAATATTGATGTGTATGTACGACCACTGCTTAAAATGCAGTCAGATCTTGTTCCACTGCATAGTCTTGTCAAAAGTGCTGGGGATATCAGGCTGCTGCAAATCCCAGGACATCCGAAGAAGCAAAAAGGATGGGATGTTCAATGGGAAATCGAGGATGATTTAGCATTACTAAAAGGGATTTATCGATACGGTCTTGGTAGCTGGGAAGAAATCAAAATGGATCCTGATTATGGTTTAGCAGAAAAAGTATGCACAAGTGTAATTCATCTTAAACTTAATTAGGAAAAGATTCTTTAATAGAATACATCTACATGCAAGGTGGAGATGCATAAGTATTTTTTTTAATATTATATTTGTTTTGAAAGAATACGCATCATAATATATCAATTTTAGCAAATTGTGGAAAAAGATGTTTGTTCTAGATTTGGTTGAAAGATAAAAGTAAAAAACCACAAAGTAAGCACATTCAAGCTCGAGCCGAATATCTTCTGAAATATCTTGCCCGTTTTACAAATGCTAAAGGAAGCAAGTCAGCAACATCCAAATCTAAAAAACTTCATTCATCGACTTCAGGACCATCGGTGACACAAAAAATATTTTTATTTCTAATTATTTCAGACATTACAATATCACTATTATGAAAAAATATCAACATGTGCTATGTATCTGATAATATTTGTAATTTTTATTCCTTGAAGCCAAAGTTTATGAGTTTTTTAATTGATGTATTTGTTGTTCAGGATAAAGCAAATGAAAAGAAAACGTTGAAGGATGAAAGGAAAGATAAAAAATCGAAAGGAGAACATGGGGAGGAAAAGGCTGGTATAGAGAAAAAAGAGTCGAAAGTGGATTTTTCATCTGCTTTTCCTTATGTTTCAGATAATAGAAGACGAAAAAGCATTTTAATAACTCTGTTATTAAATTTCAGAATTTTATTACATCTACCAACTTTCCCCATATGTTTGAATAATTCGTCTCGCCATTTTTTGAGCAATGACTGTTATTTACTTTGCAGCTGAAAAAAGAAAAAATTGTGGCAAGTTTGAATCATCTAAGCATAAACAAATCAAAGTTTAAGAAGGACATTGAAAACAAGAAATCGTCACAATTCACGGAGGTGAAATTTATTTGGAGTTGAAGATTCGCAGATATTTTCATTGCTAATTCGCAGATATTTTCATTGCTAGTCATATGTTTGGATAAGTTATCTTATTAAAAAAACAATATGTCTTAATTAAGGCTTTTTTTGCAAATACAGTAAGTTATGGACATAAAAATTTTTACATCTACAAAAATGGGACTTTTTTAGTGTGTGAAAATCATGCGACCTGCTCAGAAATACATGAGAAAGTTGGTTCACTGCGATGGCTTAAGCACAACTGATTCTTTGCGGTATTTGCTCAAGATTGGTGATCATATCAATGAACATCTCGGACAAATCAGCTTGATGTCTATTGTGTTTTCTTCTTTTATTAATAAAAATTTTTATTGACGATCTATAGTAAATTTAAAAGTTAATTCCATCATATATGACAGAGTAGTAAGATTCAGCTTTTGCGTTAGCAGTGATTATCATCCCTGAGTTAATTTGGAGTTTAAAAAAGTGCAAACATTATCTTCATTTATTGAGGTACAAAAGCTGTTCCTTACTGCCGTGCTAAATATTTTTAATCCAAAAGTAGTTTTGTGAATTCAAGATACTTAACATTCATCATTAAAAATTATGTACCAAAAATTGGAAAAAAAATCTTCCATTTTGTTGAGCTGAAAAATTTACTTTCAGCTGTGTGTTTTATTCCAGAAATATCTGTTATGCTATTAGATTTTTTGTAGTATAGAAAACTGAATATTAATATGGCTTAGTTTTGTTGCGAAATCCTTATGTAAAGCTAGAATCTTACTTGTAGCTGAGATAATCAAAATTCGTACATGAACTTTTTTTGGTTTATTTTGATCCATTCTTTTTCACAAATCTTAATTTGCTTTGTACATAGTTTTCACGTCTTTTTTATTTTATAACAATAGTGTTTTCTTCGGCATAAGCAATCTATACTCATAATTCTGATACATTTTTTGTAAAACTTAATTTTTATCAAATTTTCAGTAAGTCTGAAGAGCATGTGGAAAAATGGCACTCATATCTGTGGATATTTTTTTCGTGTTTCACTCGTCAGGAACCCAGCGATTTACTGAAACGTTATCGTATTGCTGCGAAAAATCGCGCTGATAATGATGGAGATGTACATTTTTTATTTGTTGATAGAAGAAAACTTTTTTTTCCTTTTTATCAAAACTTTTCAAGTTCATTGTTAGCGCTTCATAAAAACAATTCTTGTTAAGCATTATTTTTACTTAGGAAACTCATCGCAAACATCATCACCATCATCACCATCACCATGATAATAAGAGCAATCAATATAATGACAACTCAGCGAATCAGGGTGGTATATTAACTGTCGGTATTGGTGCAAGTGATCGAAAATTAGAAACCACAGTTAGTGCTAAAAGTGATGCAAAAGCTATAAAGGATTCAAAATATTTTCGTTCCAGCAGTGATGGAAAAGAAGTAAATAGGGAACATCTAAGCAGGCCGGGATCACAAAAACATATACATTCTGCGAAGCAGGAGAATATTTTGAGAAGAAGGGATGAAAGCCAGTAAGTTGCTATTATTTTGAAAAATTCATGCAATCCAACACTGTTGCATATTTTCGTTCGTACAATACTTGTGGATAGTTTAAGTCATTCGTTTAGGATGCAGTATTTAAAGATTGTATAAATTTATATGATATTTTAAATTCTTGTCAGTAGGAAAAGATCAATTTTCATTTTCTCTGTTTGAACAGATGGATGAAATTCTCTTGAAATCAAAGTCCTAACTGAGCTTCATGCGGAAATATTTAAGTTTTGAACTTAGTTATTCTACAATATCGGATTTTTTTATTCTTAGAATCCTTTAGTTGTTTAAATTCGTGATTTAGGGAAGAGGAAATTGCTAATGATATTTTGGTTGTAACACTATGAAATTCAGGTTTAGATAACTTATTCAAATATAAGGTTTGTTTCAGGCAGCATGTTGAAATTAATGATGATCTTGACAGCTACAAACCATCAGTATCACAGTTACAGCAATCCTTTCCTTCGTACTCGAATTTTAACGATAATGATAATCACAAGGAGCACTCAAATCTGCGTGGAGATTACAGTAATAGTAGATTCTATCATTCTCATCGTGATCGTTCTGGTTACCGCGACTTGGCTGCTAATAGGCATGAACAACAATATCACTTCAGAGATCATAGGCGAGAACAGAACTATCACCGAGGTAAAAGTATATTTGCGAGCTAAATCTTGACATATATAAGTTTGTTGTTTACTAGTCAATGAAATAATTTTATGTTGTTTTAAAAATGTTGAAAGATTATGTTACAACTTTGTGTCCATTAGCAGTAAGTTCATTACAGTAATGCATTCAAAAAGAAGACTTTTTAGCATTATTATTCATCAGAAATTATTTAAATCGCATGAGAGAAAAATTATAAAAATTTTTTCAGATGATCGAGTTTCTTATTGGGGAAGGAATCATACTGAGCTGCATCATGATCATGGCGATCGTGATTACCGACAGGAGTTCCGTTATGCGTCAAGTTCTTCAAATCCTATTAGTGCTGATTCTTCACGCTGGTCTGGAAATAGTGTTTCATCTCTTCTCCCATCTCATTCAGTAACACACTATGTAAGCAGCAATAAAATACCATTTCTAATTTCTTCCTCATCTCGGCCGTCTAGTATCACCGAAACAAAATCATACACAGCTGTCGTGCGCGAGAATAATTCTATACATATCCCCTTTGTGCGACCGCCACCATTGCCACCGCAAATACCGCCGTATCTGGAGCCACCGCGGTGCAAAGATTCGTATAGTAACAATATTGTTAGTACGAGTGACTCAAGAAGGTAGTGTTTGATTTTTTTCAGGAATCTTTGTTAATGTATGTATTGTGCTTTCTACTTGCTAAATAATCATTCTCATGTAATTACGGGACTGATTTTATTCTCTTAACTTCAAAAGATATTGCCGATTTCAAAACAAGTTTTGGAAAATTCTGCGGCATCGTCATATTTGAAGTACGAAAAAAAATGTCATTTTCGTCTTATTTTCGAAGGGATCTCTTTGCTCAACACATTTTCTTTCCATAACACTTTCTTTTGTGTACTGCGTCTTGATGTTGATGTTCAGTATTCGCAAATTCCTTATTATTTGGTATTTTCAAACAAATTTCAAGTTGTTTATTTGCTACTCTTTCGTATAATTCAAGATAAAGGCACCATTTATCTGATACCGAAGTGGAAATTATGAAAATAATACTAGCCACATTCGGTAGTCTTTCCTTTAATACTTTTTAGACTATATCTGTATTTTGCGAAAAAGCAGTGGTTGTTGGTGATTGATTTTAAATATTTTGCAGTATTCATGTTGATGTTGTAGTTATGAGTAACTTGTTCGCTAAATTTCATGAAATGTATTGCTTGCAAGATTGTATCTAATAATATAGTATTTGCTTTAAACAACTGAAGTAATAAAGATTTAATCATGTGACTGTACTGAGAAATCCTGTAAGGTTATGTTGCTGGAAGGCAATCATATACAATTCTTGCGTTCCGTCACTGTCGCAAGTTTACCTAGATATTATCATGCTGTCTTTCGTGCTATTTGTAATTGACCGTACAATTTGCATGCGCAAGATTTGCATTTGCATATGATGCAAGACTTCATTGTAATCATAGGGAGATAGGTATGTTGTATAGAGGTAATTTCAAGCATATGCATGTGGATTTACACTAATTATCATCATCAAGGTCTTGAGCTACTTTAGTGCGTACGTTACTGAATACTGACGGGAGTGAGGGATATAGAAAACTTAACAAATTTGCTGGTTTATTTGCATAAGGTCTGCTCAAGTTGATTGCATAATTATTGAACTGTATAGATGACAAGAGTAGTCTTAAAAATGCCGGAGGAGTGGTTAATGACGCTTTTATTGTCTACGAAGTTTGCACGGGTCAAGTATGAAAGACCAGCTGAATTCAGTGTAGTATAAACATGAAGTAAAAATGAAAATGATGTCTGCATAAGTATAGATGAGACATGGTAGTAACGGGTTGTGTGAACTGTAGTGATTTTGGAAGGATGCAAGTTTCATGTCGAATATTTTGTTTATAACATTATATTTAACGGACCGCGATCTAATGTCACGTTACGTGCTCTTACAGCTAATGTATTATTATAGTGGAATGTAGTGTGTAATGCAGTGTTTGGATTATATTAGGTTCTAGGCCTGACTTTTCACAAATTTACTTAATATTAGCTTTATGTGAGAATCTAAAGTATAAACGTCTCATAATACTAAATGCTTTTATTGGGAGATTAAAAATATAAATGATTCAAGTGCAAATGATTTTGGGAGTAGTATGTTGTGGATAGTATTGTTGGCAGCGTGTGAGATAAAACTTCATGTAATTGTGATTTGCTATCTGAAGTTATTAATGGCATAAGACGGCGGATATGACATGTGTCTTCACTGTTGCAAGTTGTTGAGACTTGGAAGGTAAATTAGTATCGATAATTTAGGTTTCATTTAATCAAAAAAATGGCGGATTCTGGAAGTGAAGAGGAGGTACAGAAGGAAATTCATTTGAACGTAAAAACAACTACGGAAAGCTACGATATTGCAGTCTCAGACAAAGCTACGATTTCAACGGTATTTGCATATCTGAGTTTTTTTTAACTCGACTTTGATTTTTTTTTTCGTGAATTGTTATAGTTCTGTCCTTTCTGTTATGCTGTTACACTATAATACACTATAATCACAAAATAAGTCGGAGACTTTGTGTATGATATATTACTAATACTTTTGATATTTGTAGTTTTTCTGACATGGACTTTCACATGCTAATGTCCATTGAAGGACATTAAATCTCAGTACAGTCTAACCCCTGATTTTTTTCAAAATGTATTTAATTATGCTAATTTAATGTCGAGTAGAAATATAAAAGTTTTTGCCCTCTATTCGTTCTTCACCCATTTTTTCAGAGCATTGTAAATACTGTTTACAATGTCATATATTATTTTCCCATTGTAATTCATTATTTTTTCGGCAATTATATATATTACAAGTCAGACGAAGTATGTTTAAGTATTGGTATTGATAATTATTGGGTAATAATTATAGATCAAATCAGTATTGTCAGAAAAAATCAATCAGCCGAGCGAGAAGCTTTGTCTTATATTTTCCGGCAAAATTTTAAAGGATCATGAAACGCTTACTCAGCACTGTATGTTTATTATTAAATGATATAAATCGCTTTGTGAATAGTTAATTAAGACTATTTTAGCAAATTTTCGTACCATTTCCAAGTTTATGTTGCATTTTTCAGCGATCAAAGATGGAATGGCCATTCATCTTGTCATACGAAATTCAAAACAGCAGGTAAGCATACAGTATTCAGCCTTTAATAACTTAATATATTTTGCTTTCATTGTACTTTCAAACAATTATTTCAGCCTACTACACCGTCCTCTGGAAGCAGATCAACATCTGTAAGTATTCTGTCTTCTTAATTGCATAGTCTTAACAGGAATTTCTTGAATTTACATCTGTTGCATTTGGATTTTTATCTGTTTTGTTTTCTTACATTTCCCATATCACCTCTTAACCTTTTCATTCCATTTTGGATGTTTTTATTTTCTTCGTAAATATTCCGTTTTGATTAGTAAAAATATTATTTTTAAGCAGAATCCAACGTTGTCAGGAAACTCAATGGGTGGATTGATGGGAGGTGCATTAGGAATGGCCCAGCAAATGATGCAGAATCCAGATGCTCTCCGTGAGATGACAAATAGTCCAATAATACAGTCATTATTAAACAGTCCAGAAATAATACGTTCATTGATTGCTGATAATCCTCAAATTCAGCAAGTCATTGAAGTAATGGTTTTGTATTCCAGGTTCAGTCTAAAAATCTCTTGAGTTTTTGACAGATTGAATATTTTTGGGGTGATAAGAAATTTGGAAACTTCATTTCTTTTTACATGATCAAAAAAATCAATGTCAATAATTTACTTTAAGGCGAACCCTGAATTGGGTCATCTGTTAAATGATCCCGAAATTATCAGACAGACCATTGAAATGGTCAGAAATCCGACCATGTTTCAAGAATTAATGCGTAGTCGTGATCAAGCAATAAGAAATCTTCAGGTTTCTTATTAAGTTATTTTCTTTTGTCGTTTCTTTCTACAAAAGTTTGTTTTTGTCGATATTTACGTGACATGAATTTTAGACAATAGTGTCATTTATAACAATGTTTGTTGCTAGAGAATTTCATTCTAGGGTATTCCTGGTGGACAAGCAGCACTTCAGCGTTTATATCATGATGTACAGGAGCCTCTTCTGAATAGTGCATCTAGCACTTTTGCTGGCAATCCTTTTGCAACATTAGTAGATAATTCCAACAATATTAGTATGTTATCGCTTGCTATCTTTTCTTTGCGGCATCTATTCTCTTGCAAATTTTGCCTTGCTTAAAAATCTTAGAAAACTATTTAAAAGTGTGATTTGAGTCGAATTTTTTCTATTTGTTTTTTAACATTTGCGTGTTTAACTAGGATCCGACATATTTGTTTCCTATTAAAGAAAATTACTGAATTGATTTGTTCCCTATTAAAAAAATATTAAAAGTGAGTTCATGCTTTTATCAGAGTACGCCTCCCAGAAACTTGTTCGAGGGTTACTCGGCTATAAATTACACAATCTTTTAGAAATGTACCAGGATACAGAATTATTTTTCAGCATCACGAAGTCAGCATGCTGGCGTTGAAAATGCTGAACCGCTGCCCAATCCATGGGGTAATAATTCAAGCACAACAAATTCTGCTCCAAATGTTGGCAGAGGTTTCTCTTTTTGAAGTTCATTTCGAATAATTAATATTATAACCCTATTTTAATTTTTGAGCCATTTATTCACTTGTAATGAAAGTAGAACACATTTCAAATTTAAAGTTTTAGATTATATATAAATAGAAATGTCGAGTTTGACTTTTGCAAAGCAGCATCAAAATATAAAAAAGTTCCATGAGCATGGGAAAGTAAGTGTTAGCTGTTAATAGTTGATTATTATTTTAGATCTCTGTTATAGGGCTTGCGCAGTTATTTGCGTCATCAGGAAATTCACCATCAGGGGATAGGAACAATGCTTTGCTCAACATGGATTTTAGCACTTTAATGAATATGATGCAACAACATCCATCAGCTTTGCCGGTTTGATTTATTTTTTACAGCAGAGCTCAGAAAAGTAGTATCAATTTTGTTCAAAGTCTTAGTCATGTTATGTAAATATATGTGTTTTAGTTATTTTCTGCAAATTTTGAATGGATTTTGATTTGAAACTTGTCTATAATTCATTTGGACTAAAATTATTGCAAATTTTGACTTACCTTCTGATAATTTTGCAAATTCAAAATTGTAGCGATCATGGAATGTGTAATGAAGTTCATAAAATTGATTAATATGATATGAAACCAAACTTGGCTAAATAATGATGTTACATACATTATGTGCTGCACAACCAATTGCAGAAATGTTTTAGATATTAATTTCAGCCGTTAGATATGAACGCATTGCGAGCATATTCTAATCCTAGAGTTATTGAAGCTTTCCAACAAATTGAAAGTGGCATGAATATTCTGCGTCAAGAGGCACCTCGGATTTTACCTCCTGGATTGTAAGTTATCGCTATCGTTTTTAACATACATGATAGGACCTTGACGTGCTATTAGCGTATTATTGATTTATTTTGTTTTAGTGTTCCACCTGTCACACCGACAACCACAACAGCCAGTACTGCTGCGAGGTAGATCAGTGATGCTTAGATCTATAAGTCTTAAAACTTTCACCAATTAAGGCCTGATTTTTCTGATGCTTAAATTTTTTTCTCAAAAAGGAAGATTTAAAATTAAAATTTTATAGCAACACGGTTACGAACGGAACGACAGGAACGACGACGGCACCATCATATGCGACTCCGACTAACGAGCAAGCAATGATGATGCTTAATCTAATAAGACAAATGACTGGCACGAGCCTTGTAAGTTGATGAACTGTTAACTGAAAAAAAGCAGTATTAGTTATTGCAGTAAGTAATGGCTTTATTGTTATTGTGGGACTACTCACAATTATTTTGTAAAAATGTAAGTAGTATTTTGTGATTTATTTAATATTTTGAAAATTAAAGAATAAATATCTCTTTGAGGCCGGATCTACTCAGCCACCCGAAGAGCGTTACCGCAGTCAGTTAGAGCAGTTAACGAGTATGGGATTTAGTAATCAGGAAGCTAATATTCAAGGTAACCTAATTTCTCAGAATATACTCCAAATATGTCGAGAAGCAAGTACTGCAATTTTTGTTTTATCTCATTAGTTTAAACCTTCTTAATGTGTTATTCTTATTTATGTTTGATTTGTATCTGGTAGCTGTAAAAACCAACTATGATAAAAGCTATTTTTCAAAATACAATGTATTATTAATGAGGTCAAAAAGTATTGATTATTGCATGTGTCATGATTTTTTTGGTTTAATAGTTGAATTAAAAATAGAATTAGGAAGTTCTGACTTAATATTCCACTTAATCCAAAGTTGATAAGACTCCTGATTAGAAAATAATAGGAAGTGGTCAAGAGCTATTATCAAACGAGTTAAAATGCTCGTTAATATTGGCGTCAAATAAAACAATTTATTCGCAAGTTACGATAACAAATTACGATTTCTCATAATTTTGTTCCTGCACGGTATTTTTCAGCGTTACTTGCCACATTTGGAGATGTGAATGCTGCAATCGATCGACTTTTAAGCGGTGCCGGGCAGCAGTGATTTTTTTGCCTGTGGAGAGTGTTCAATGCTGCTGATCACTTAATCAATTACTAGGCTGAGATGCTGAAATTTCACTGCAATTGTAAAACTGGATTTCAGATTAAATTCAATGTCTGTGTGGGGCTTACATCTTACATTATGAGTAAATTACTACTCAGAGTTTCTTTATTATTATTTGTAATTTGTTGTAGTATGCCTTTAAAAACATATGTCACAGTATTTTGGTGAAAGAAAAGGGACAGGCGCTGGCTGATTCAGGGCATGATTCAATTCACTAGATGTTATAGTTGGGTTACACGTTTCTTAGATGGATATTCGGTTCAGATGGTTGTGAATTAGGATTTAAGTGAAGTTTTAAAATGTCTGTATCTTCAACACAAACTGTAGTAGTAACTTGAAGTTTCTATCATTCCGTTATTTCTGTATTTTTTACAATTTATTCTGTTGAATTATGTTATTGGAAAGATACATTTGGTTTCCTTTTAAATTCAGTAAATTATATTTCATTGTTCCGACACCAATTAGTTTGACGGTGATCGGAATAGCGTAGATATTTCGAAATTGTTTAGTGCTTGGGGATAATTTTGTTGAGAATAGTGTTGTAATTAGATGGTTAATTAATATAATACTCCTTGAATGTCATGAATTGCGAAAATTCTCGAATGTAATACTACAATATTTGTGTCTAAGCAGTTATTTTTTTGTCACTGTTTCTACTCTTCTTGTTTTCTGAATTTTAAGCATGTAAGTTTAGTTATCCTTTTTCCCATATTTCCTACATCGGATTTGGCATGCCGAAATGTGATACATGGTGAAGGAATTAACGTTGCTCTTGGACTTTTGGTGATTTCAAAGTAAAATGTTTTCATTGATCGAACTCAAAGACCGCGTGCGCCCCAAATTGGTTCTCCAAATATCTGCCCCTACGAAGTTGTGTAAAATTGCCTCCATGAATCTAAAAAAAATTGGAAATATGGACCTGGGAAGGTTGTATGACTGACATGTCTCTAGAACTTAAAGGTGCCACCAATCTAACACGATGTGCAGGATTTCTTAGATTGGCCGTTCCTGCTTACAGTACACTAGATCTACTGTTATATGATAGATTCCATCCCTTCATGCACGAACACGTCTCACCATACTACTTAATATTTGGGGTCAGACTTTTCCCCGCACGGTCCCGCCGTACGTTATGCCATAAGGCTAAGGTCGATTCATCACTCCCCTTTGATCTACGAAGGATCTTGAGCTTGCTCTATAGTCATTGTTTAAATTAAGGAGTATGTTTGCATGCAGTTTTGAGCGGTTACTTGAGATACTGTTAGAGAAACAAAGGGACTACACCGTGATGTGTTATATGCCAGAGACAACGTCTCTGACCGTCTAGCCACGATAGTCTAGCAAACTTGTCACAAATTACAGAGATAATAAATCAGAAAATTAATTGCTGAGGTGAGTAAGAATGTACGCTGTAGAGATCACTTCCGTTCATTATTTGTCTGCAATCTGCATTATAAGTCCACTGTGTGTCCACAGCACATTGAATTAACAACGCAGATCATAACCGAGAAATAGTGTGAATAATGCACTACAGACATGCATTTGCTTCAAAACATCCTTAGTGCATTTTCACTTTCACCAAATGGGTTACAATATGAAGAATATTTATAGTATGACAATATCTTTAGCGATTCCCTCAATGATACGCAAATTATAGTTGCAGTAAATTTTGCAAGTATGGAATACAAAGGTTGCTAGAAAATGCTGCAAAGTCAGAAAACCCTGCAACAAATTATGAGAAATCGGGTACAGCTTCATATTCTAGTTCTAATGATTTCGATGATGTACGCACCGAGATCACACGTGTTGTCCAAGTTCATATCTAGCATGAAAGAGCTGCGTGAAATATGATATCCGAAAAAATTTCCTCATTTTACAGATATCAAATGGTCGATAATGAACGCGATTGTCGTTATTATTCAGGCACCTAAGCATTATTTTACATTATCGAGGCGCGCACAGTTATTCAAAAATGTCATACAAATAACATTAGATGTTTGTAGAAACATATGCAAATGACGACATAAATGAGTATATACATATAAATGAGAAATATATAAAATTATAATTTAGCGACGTAAAATTTTGCTTTAAACTCATAGTTATAGATGTTGTTGATCAAAATAACCTATGCAATAATTTCATTGCTATTTATTAAATATACTTTATATTGGTTAAAGATTACAGTTTTTTACTGGCTTCCTGGTTCTTCTTTCTGTTGATTTCATGGGCGAAGAAGTTTTCGGACCTGCCTGAAACTTTTTGCAAACGAAGCAATAGTTCGAACTTCAAAATGATAGATATGAATAATGTTATGTAAAAAATTATCCTATATAATTTATAGTAATCATGTACTGAAATGATTTCGTGCAAACTCAAGTACTGAGAAAATATTACTGCAGGTGTTCGCACTGGAGTAATTACTGAATGAAGGCTTGCTACACTTGCTGAGACAGATTTGACATGGGAGAGAAGCAAATTCTGAGTCTAAAAAAAGCTGCGTCTGACCATAAATTCAAATATTTTGATCTTCTTTTGATGAGAAGTTGCAAAAATCGAGAATTATCAAACTCAAAAAAATGGACTATTAACAAACCTTTGATGATGCATTATCACATCTTGAAAGAGGTTTTACTTTTGCTACTTTGCCTGAAGAATGAGGGGTGGCGAAAGTAACTGGAGCGCAACGCTTTTTTGAATTGACCAAAGCTGATATGTTTGATACGCTCTCCGTCGGTGTTTCTGCTCTTTTTTTCTGTAAGCACTGTTCATCATGAGAAATGAAAACTCGTCATTAGAATGTTGCAAAAAAAGTTAACAAAAACGGGATGGCGAAGTAACTGGAACAGAACGCATCCTAGAACTGGTAAGTCTCTTGTCAAAACTATCAATAAAGCAATATATTCCTTCTTTTGTTAATACATGCTAAAACTTTTTGACAAAATGAAAATGCATGCAAGCAAATGATAATTATATAACCTTTCGTTTACGTTCAAGTTCCTTGTTAACTCTATATTCTTCCATTACAGACTCGATATGCTCACATGGTGTTAAACCGTCCATTAAAATCTGATTATCATGAACTGCTTCATATTTTTCAACTTCATCTTTTAGTTCTTTCAGCACTAGGGGAAGCCGACTTCCAATAAATTTTTGCCGCTAAATTTTAAGAATGACTTTATCAACATATATTACAGGAATGTGCATGTTCGAAGTGACCTCATTAATCTAATATTCATCTCCACGCTGATAAAAAGGTAGAAGTTTGAAACATTCAATATAAGTGTAGGGAAAGATTCTATGGTAATCAGAGTATCTTATTTCCTTCTCCTGTAAACAACTGCTATTGAAATTACCTGATAACAATCACAAACTATATTTACTTTACAACATGACTTCCTTTGGTAAAATAAAATTAAAATGGCAAAGTATGAGTGGAAGAAATGATTCACTTAAAGATTAACCTTTAGTGCAGTCTGCAACTCGCAACCACGATTATGATAACGTGTTTTGTCGTTGGCGCGATGCTCAAATTCAACTTTTTCATTCCAAAGATCTTTCCATTCTTTCATTTTTTTATAAATTTCAGCTCGATCAGACAAAAATTTCTCCAAAGATAACACCTGTTCTTTCGCTTGTTGGATATCATGTACAGTGTGTATAGCTATAAGTTTATTTTTATTTTGAAAAACAGAAAAACAACTTTGATGCTTAAGATTGAGTTTCATGAAACTGAATGTTGCAAATCAAACGAAACCTAATCGCTCTTTTGTTTCCTACCACACCGGTGTAACTCCACTCTTTAAGTAACTATAACTATTTACCTGGATCAAACTGTCGAGCAATATTTCGCTCTACATCAGGGATATGGCAGAGATCCCATAATTCAACAAGTCTTAGTAATGTTTCAGTATAATCAAAACAAGCTTGCTCTACCCATTCGTTATATTCTCCTTTGACCTAAAGTAGTAAAAAAATGAAAACATGCAACATTGTTGAGCCTAAAAAGATGATGTACTAAGAAGCGAACACATTAAGAATAAAAATAAAACAGCCACAAAACTTACTTCATCAAATGCATTTTCAAATTCATCCATAAAATGTTTATCCCATACTATTTCTTCATCTTCAAGATCTAAATCAATGAATGTTCTGCCCAATTCCTTTGATGGTGTGCTTCCCATCTGCTTGTACCAACGTTTCATATCCATCTGCCACTGTCTGCATTTGTCTATACGTTCCACATATAAACTATTCATATGATATATGCGATCTTGTAGCCGAGCAATCGCCTCAGCATTACAAATCTAAAAACTGTATAATATATCAGAGTAAAATATAGTGAAAGTCAAATAACGAATTTCGTCAAATTCTGGAGAAAATTATTTTCAGGAGTTGCACATATTATTACCCATCGAAATTTCATATTTTAGTGGAATACTAGTTCATCTATAAATTTTTCTCAGTATAACCAGAATTTTCAGACAGAAACAAAAGAGAAACGAGCTTTTCATTGATGAGATTATAATAACGTACAGTTGTGCTTGAAGGAAGATCTTCAATTTCTTCACCAGTTCGTGTCGCAAGATGAGCAAGTTCTTCAGCTAATTTTTTTTGCCCTTGCAACTTATCTTCTCTCAAACTTTGTAATCGCGCTATATCTTGATGCAACATGCGATACTATAAATATTTGAAGATAATAAGATCAAAATAATACGTTTTCGTATTAATATTTACAAACTAAACGATAAAACTACTTGCACTGGCGTAAATATCGAAAATAAAAGAAACAAGTTCAAAATGTGACTTATCAGGTGTTAAAGGGAGAAACATACAAAAGCTGGCGAAAATTTGAAAAAGTTTACTAATGCAAGCGATCCTGTCTTCAAATGACTTTTGTTTGTTAAAGGCAACTGAAGTTCTTTACTTAGATCTTCCACTTCTTTAGTCATTTCTTCAATATTTACTTGTATACCTTCGACCATTTCTTCTTCATCTGCTACCTAGAATTCAGAAAAAGTTATTCTGAAATTTTCAGAGATAAAATTAATAAAAGTGGTTGAGACTAATTTTAACACTTAATTAGAATATCAGAAATACAAACCACTATTTAAAGTAAAATTACTGAAAATGAACATGTGCAAATATATGAACACACTGAATTTCGGAAACACATGAAAGGTACCAACTACAGACTCTCAAAACATTCTCTGATACCAGCCATACTATCTTTTACCATAGTAATAAAATTATTTTAGAGTATTTTCGGTACTGAGAAATTTCTCAAAAAACAAACCATTTGATTCAATAAATCAGATATATACAAAAAGAATTTTTCGATACGCTTGTGTCTCATGCACTCTTCCATACTCACTCGATCCCATAACTGATTTAGCCGCTCGATAGTATCACGGATTGATGAAACCGCTTCAGATGTTGAAAAATTGATCGAAACTCTAAACTTTAAGCACAGTCATAATCCACCAATAATATAACAAAATTACTTTGAAATATAGTGATATAATAGAGAATTTTTGGCATGCAATCTATAATTAAGATCTCAATTAATATAACATACCGTCTACGAGACAATCTCTCTTTAGTCATAGTAATAAGCCACACAACGACGTTTTCCTGAAACCAAAAAAACATCTATTATTTCTTGAACAGAAATTAATTACTGCATGATACCTATGATGATATTTTCGTTACAATTAAAATTAATGTTGACAAAATTATACCAGAGATATTAAGCAATTAAAAAAAGTGTAGAAGATAAACAGCAAGTAGTAAAAATATTATATTGTTATTTTAATTAATTGTAAAAACCATTGAGAATTTTACAATTGCTTAAAATAACAGTATAATTTTTAAAACAATTAATAACAACTTAAAAAACCAAAAAAAAAAATCACGTATTAGTATCCGAAATGTAATTTTTTGCACAATCTTTTCGAACAAAATCCGATCTGATCACATAACAATACGTGATTTTTTTTTAAATCACGTATTGTCTTGTTTTTGTAAAATAGAATTATAAAATAGAATTATGCAAAAACTTTTTATATAACATAAACTTGCTAACTAGTGAGAAAATCAGTTAGAAACCAATAATTCCAAAATTACATCCTCTTAGACAAAATACCTTTATTAAACGTATTTTAAGTAAAACAACCGTACTTAAAAACCCTCTCAAAATATATTCTTCAGTCCTTATCACTTACGTCATCACGACACACACATGAAAGTGCCACGATAACATACAAATACAATAATTATTAATGTACACAATTCGCTATCATTGCGCTTCAGTTAAATTCAAACATCGGTATCTTACAGCTAAATACCAGGAAAAACTCCATATCTTAACGAGAATTCCTGACATTTTCGTTTGAACCGTCATATTTTTGTCTGATCTCAAAATCAGACTGAAATTACTTTTATTTTGTTGTAGGTTCTGTTATTATTAGTTATGTTAAGCATTAAGTAAACATTTTTGAGTGAGAATTCTGTGTAGAATATGTTTCATTATGTAATACGTAAATATTTTTCGTATTTATCAATTAATCATATAAAATAATAACGCGTAAAATTTCTTGAATCGCTTTGACCTATACTTAAAAATATAATTTATTCTTATACTTGATTAGTTTTCTTAAAAATAAACAAAGTAGTAATGTTGCACAAAGTAATCTGTAGTTATTTTTATGTTGGAAATTTTTTGCTCTCTTATTTGAACTATAATATTGCTAATTTTTATTTACTTTTGCTGTAATAAAAAAATTCATCACAGTTATCATTTCAGAAAATGGTATTATGATTAATAGATGACATTCATTGAATAAAATATTGGTTGATATTTCAATTACACGTGTAATTGATTTTTGAATAAAAATGTTCTGTTTAAATAAAATACATTAATTAAACTTTTAATCTTGTTTCAAACAATACAGAACAAATTTATTTATAAATAATTGAAATAGTGGGATAAGTAATAATATGATATATTATTTTCATGTCTATTACTGACTTCCATCACGAAAAAGTTAATTTACAGGCTTGATTAATGAAGTATTCTACTAAATAGCTGTATTAACAAGACAGACATCTATACATCTGTAATGACTTTAAAATAAATTTGCATCGACTATCGACAATTTGCATTTATGAAGATCAACAAAACTATTGAATAATTCAAAATATCTATCAAAGATCAAATTATTCATCGAGCAGTTACATAAATATTGTCTGACTTAAATGAATCATCCTGAATACATATGAAATGAAGCGAGAATTCGTATCCTGTAGCTATTAGCCAAAGACTGAAAAGAAAATTTATCTCGCAAAATAGTTTTTTTCAGCTTTTTTCTAAATTTTTGCTTCAAATTTTCGTATTACAAGTGTTTTGCAGTATGAATAGATGTGAAAGCATAATTTTCATGTAAATAATAAATGCTTGCGTTTATTATTTACATGAAAATTGCTTGCGAGAATACTGTATATTAAATTGGCAATAAACGGGTAACAATTTGTAAGTTTTTGTAGTTTTCAACAGTTTTTTGCTCCAAACCAATTAGTACTCATTGTTCTTTGATAAAGCCATAACTTTACTGAAGTTTTTAAATGTTTCTCTTATTAGTACTTGTTTTTGACAGTTAAAATATTATATTTTTTTTGTTTTGTATTCAGTCTTTTCAGACATTATTCTTCAAGTCCAAATATACCAGAGAAAACTTCATCGTTATTAAATCCAATAATGCTGTAATACATGACCTCTGGGTTCGTAATGTCAAAATTTTGTAGGTAAAATTATGTTACTTACAAAATAGGAGCAGATGAAAACTTTGCTATAGACATTTTTATTCTATTCACACATTTTGTTTTGTACTCAGAATATAATAATTTGAGTATTTTTAGTATAAAAAATATTTGAGAATGAATCTTAAAACTATGCTTGATAGAGAAGGAAATTAGCTGGTAAAAAAAGAGTTCTTATCACTAAAATCCGAAAATAATTATGAAAATAGTCCCCACTTTTTTCGTCCTTTGACCTTTGCATAGTTTCAAGAATATTTTCAACTTAAAATCACAAAATTTTTAAGCAAATATACAAACATTAAAGTATGACGTGGATATATTATTCAAAAATTTTTCATCCTTTCATTGCATCAGAAATGCATGAAAAAAAAAATTACTGAATTGTTGTGCACGTCATTCATACTTGATCAAATTAATATTTGATATCGTCAACATTTTCAAATTTTCTTCAATAATAAGTTTTCATCGTTATCACAATACTTTTTTATCAATCATTATTTCCAAGTCATTCACAACTTTGGGTAATAGTTTGTAATGTTCACCGTCTACGTGAAAAAGTGAGTCTAATACGAACTCCTGAAAGCAAATCCTTTTGTTCAAAAAATGCATAATTAAAAAAAAATATTTGAAATAGCTTTTACTGATAAAATATTTTGTTCAAACCAAAAGACACTATCTTAGATCATTTTAAGACAAACAATTTGAAATTATTGCATATTTGAGCTGCATTAATTTGATTTGTTATAAAATGAAATTTATAATTTAAATTAATTCGAAATTTGATATTTTGTTTATTTAAATTGAATATTAAAATTCAGTTAGATTTATATCACCGTTGAATATTATTTGGGACTGAGGTATTTCATCTAACAATTCGACAAATAGCTTATCAGACAATCACATTTTAGATAGAATCATAAACAAAACTTACTTACAGCGCATCCTTGCAAACCTCAGTTTATTTGCATAAAACACTTAAAATCAGTAATGAGTTTTGTTTTAAAAATAAAATAGTAAAATATAAAAATAATTACTTTACCTTAGAGATATACTCGAAAATCATATCAAGTCGTTGCTTGGATTTCTCGCTTAATTTACTAATGACCAATGGTATCAACAGACAATGAACTTTTTGCAGCAAAATTTTTAAGTAATTTGCATCATATGAAAATGTCACACGACCAAATGATATTATTGTCAGGCAAAGTTGGCGAATCTGATGCTGAATTTTCGCATAATCATTTTGTTGTATTGTAATGAATTGATCATTTTGCAGAACAACGCTTAGTTTGACAGTAAGTTTGATAATATTTTTTACTACCTGAAATTAAAAACTTTCATTGCATTTTAAGCTTTATGCAATCCAGTCAAAAGCTATTCATGTAATTACTATATTCATATGTATTCTGAAAATATTTTTGAAATTGATAAGAATAAAACATAAATCTAAATTACTAAACTGTTAAATCAGATTGACTCAACGAATCATATCTAATTTAGGTGATATTTTCTAGCTTCGTGTTCACTGATATAATATCTATTTAGTGACTGAAAAGTTTAAAATTATCAATTTTTTTAAAAATATAGATACTTTTTCTGCGATAATTTTGTTATATTTGGTTTTCAAGATTTGATAGACAAAATCAAAAAGGCGAATAGTGGCGTTGTCCACAAATAATTTAGCATTATTGCGTGAAATTATTGTTGATAAGACTTTTTTTTGCGCACGGATGACAATAGTTGCTGAATTGAATGTTTGCTGATGTTGCCCAAGACCATCAATATCTAAAAATTATTAAATCACATCGTTAAGTAATCGCAAAATCAGAAAAATTAGTCATTTTTGAATACATATTATTATTATAAGTCAATATTATATTTCAGTTCATGAAAATGATTTAGTTCATAAAAATAATTTAGTTCATAAAAATGATTCAGCTCATAAAAGAAATTAAAAATTAATGACTTGCTGATAAATGAATTAATAATTCCAGAAATCAGTTTATTATTTTAATTTTTCTCACTAAAACATATTATATGTGTTCCATTTGTTTAATATGAAAATACCAATATTTTAGACTGAATTTGCGCAGTGACTGAAAATTTTGTGCATATTCAATAAAAAGAGAAATACTAATTTAATTAAATCACTTAGCTGAAATAGATTTCTTGGGTCATTAAAATAAATTGCATCTGATTTGTTATTATGAAAAATCAGACAAGTAATAATGAGAAAGCAAATTTGTTCATTCTTTCAGTAATTGTAATCATTTTTAAATTTTCATTTAATAAGCAAGCAATTCAACTTTGATCCAACCTATTTCATATTGTTTAGTCCTACAATAATCCATATTGATTGATCTGAAACATAGCATTTGATAGGTTATCAGTTAATTTTCAAGTTAAAAAAAAGAGTAATAAATTAGCATATTTTTATTACTACCTCAAATTCATATTCAAATTTTATATGCATTAAGTTATTGTACTAAATAACAGTAAAAGAGAGACCTTAGAAATGAGGTCTGTGTGAGATTCGAATTCAAATTAGAATGGAAACCAAATAAATTCGCTGCGTGCCCTCCAAAAATGGCAATTAGATTGATTGCACGTCAAGGAGATCATTTTTCGAGGAGTTTTTATAAAAGGATAGAAAAAACATAAACTTCTTTATTAACAATAAAAAGAAAGCGATTTGAAATGCTGAAAAAATATGCAAAAAACGAAAAAATTCATTCAAAAGTTTGTATGTTAAAAAACTGAAAAATAAAATCAGTCATTACGTGGCTTAT